ACATTATATTAGAAACTATTTTTCTTAAGTGAAACAAAGAAAAACAAATATCAAATTGATAATATATTGTGATATTTTCAGTCGAGGGTAATGCGAGTCACCTCCGACGAGCGTTATTTATCTTCTTTGGGTCGAGAAAAATGAAGCAGATAAAGAAGTGACCCAATCACATTAATTCAGCATTTTCTTCGATTCCCTAGTAAACTGATTTACGCATTCGAAAAAACATACTCCGACGAAATTCGAGTGTCGATCGTAATTAATTCAATTCTGGCATCCGTTCATATGAATTCGAAAATAAGTTCATTCTTCTTACGACTCATAGAGAGGTCCTATCAGATAGCTTCTTCACATCGGCGCACATAGTTTAGATCTTAAATAAATGCATCTCAATGTATAGGGTATAAGAAATTATACATCGTCGGAAAAGAACATCTTTCAAACTTTATACGCCACTGAAAATTACTAGGACGAATGAATTCACACTGAGTATTTCTATAGATTGTCCTCATCATGGTGGTAGATATACGCTGAGATCGAAACACAATGTTTCTTTTCACGACACAATAGTGTTCATGATTTGACATATACTTTCATAATCATTAGTATTAATTCTACAAAATGAACCTTTCTTTCAAGGACGCTGCAATAGTTGTAATCAAACACATATTCTTTTCCAAATTTTTTCTATTCATAAATACAACGTGTATATTAGCTCACATTGAAATACTAAGTAAAAAATTTAGTTTCTGCTAAGTACTCCATTGAAAAGATTTCTAACTAAATAATTTAAACGAGCCATTATTGCATTAATAAAGCTTTGGTTACTTTTCGTAGTCTTCCTCTTATTCTTTTTTCACCCAATGGTATTATCTTAGATGTGCTGGATGCTAGGAAGTGTAGATATCCATTCAGCTACAGCTCCTGTTTTAATTACGGATGATCTTTAGCTGAAGATAGCTAAAGTACTAACAACATGTTACGGAGAACAGATTTGAAAATTGTGATCGTTATAGCAGACAGTAAATATGAGTGCATTACTAAAATTTGCTAGCGTCTTCCATCTATTTGTTTTATCAATGGGCATGTATCTAAGCGCGCATTTTGCATAACGGTGATGCGATCTGAGAGGAGGACTGTAATTTGATAAGTTGATTCCTTTTTCTGAAATAAAAGGTTATGAAGCGCTAAAAAAAACAGCTTGAAATGCCAATAATTTGCCTCTCCCATCCAGTGAAAAGGTGAACCAAGAGGTGATTCACGTCGAAGATCTAGAATCCGCCGTTAGCTCTTGTGTGAACCGTTGTTCATGACCTATACTGGTCCTTGTCTTTCCACCAAGAAGCTAAAATTGCGCGAGCGTCTGTTTGAATTCGATCAATAGTTCTCGATAGCAATGTCCTTAAATCTGACGGAAATTCTCTCCGACTGATTTCTGCTCAGGAAAAAGATTCGTGCATACTTCTATTTGACATTGTAATGGAAGCTAGTGAACTGATTGGTACTTACGTCTTTGTGTGTGAATAGGGCCATTTACGACTTTTACGTATAAAATTTAGTAATAAATTGATTAAAAACCCACAGTTGAAGTAAACTATAGAATAAGTATGAGACTTATACCAGTAGTGTTTAAAGCTTTGTATCGGTAACCACTATATATTAGATTATCTCGTAGAATTTTCTCCAAATACACCTGAAGAAAAACCAAATGGATGTTTCTGATTCTACTGTTGGATTTATCTAGGCATGAAAAACTAACATGTTCGAATTATAGCGGCTTAGAAAATAGGATCACATTGACACAAAGTTAGTTCTGTTTCAAAAATTACTCACCCACCCTCAAGATGAGCGTCACTCCTATACTTATTGATTATCTCAGTAAATATTGTTCAATTAAGCGGCGTCGTGATGAATAAAATAAAACAGTAAAATCAGAATTTGGGAGGATTGTAGAGCTGCTTCCAGTGACATATTCTGTTGTACGAATGAGACAAGTCATGTCAGTTTGGTTCTGAAATCTATAAGTAATCGTATCTTATTTCACACTATTCATCGTTTTGTTAAAAAACGGAGACGTGTTTAAAGGTGGAAAGTTCAAGTTACCCGCTCTTGGGTATAGTTACCGTTTCATTTTCACCGTGATTTTTATTTAGAAATGCAGGTTTAGCAGAGAGAAAGATAGTGATCCTGAAATCAGTTCCAGAAGTCAAACCTAATTAGGTATTTCTGTTTTTTTTGGTATGGGACATGAATGAAAACCATTCGTTATTTATTTTCTAAAAGTACAATTTTTGTTTTCGATGAATGTATTTTCGATAGTTTGTTTATACTACGGTGCTATAGCATTTGTCTCATTGATCTACATTGGTAGGAATTCAATACGCAATATATCCGTATTTGTACGATGAACTTCTTACCCAATTCGATATTCTTATAGTATTATACCACAACACCGTTACCAGACAAAGGCCATTATCATGATTATATTAGTTAATATTCATTTGTTGCACATAAATTTGGTTTTAAAAGAAATGAGTTTGCTACAAAATGACCTCTTTAATTAATAGGGAACTCTTTACATTGAAGTCTTTTACCTCCTAGATTTATCTTCGATGAACAAAATACAAAGTTTTCTTTTCTTTAACTCACAATTGAAATTTTCATCAGTTAACCAAAAATGAAATTTTTCTCTTTTTCTCTTATAAGACAAAGTTAGAGAAATTATTTTCTTATATAAAATACCGTATACTTAAAATAGATGACGTGCTTTCGTTTCTTAGACATATGGTTTGCTAAAAAAATTCAAATAAAATATCAATTAATTTAAAAATAATATTATTGAAGGAAAAAACATAAGAAAAAGAAAAAGAAAATTATATCATTTTCATTTCTAATATTGATAACAGTTTTGTCAGTTAAAATGTTAAGAAGTAGTTTTTTTCCAATGATATTTTTATTTATTACACAAACACAAGCACAAACGGAAAATATTCGATCATTTAAAATGAACTTCTATCCGGAACAAAGATTGAAATGTGAAACAACAACTTGTTTACCATTTCTAAAAACAGTTACATTAAATATACGCCAATGTCAATTCAAATGTCTAGAACAAATTCAATGTACTGTAATTAATTTTCAAAAAATTAATTTTACTTGTCAATTATTTCATATAAACAATATTCTGAATTTAAATAATTATCTGGAAAGTTATTTACAAACTAGTACAATGATTGTTACATATGATTATAGAATATCATCAGGTTAACATAATTATAATCTTATTTAATTAGTTTTTTCTTCTATTGTCTGAAAAACCGTCGTCTCGACGTTTCAATATATCACTTCTCAACTTATTAGGAAAATTAAGAATATTGAGTCAAATGTCAGAAAGATTTTTAGAAAAGATAATCTAATGATATTAATCGTCGATGAGGATGAATAAAAATATACATTTTCTCAGATTAATTAAACTATCTTTGTTTATTCATTATTTTTTATGATTTATTTTCTGTTTAACTATAGAGCCTATCAGCACTTCAAGAACTACAACAATAACATCATCAACATCAACCAATACAAGTATATACGACATTTCTAATATATTTGCTATTTTAATAGTATAGAAATGAGAATAATCTTAGAATGTTGATTAGTTCAATGATATTTCACGTTAATATTATTATAAATAAGTTTTCTTATTTTATTCTAAATCATCTTTATTTATCTTCTAGTTAATTCACGGAATTGTTCTAATATGACTGTTCTACTTGGACGTAATATACCTCGTGGTGATATAATATCTCAATCATCAATGACTTTTACACAGTGTTGCAATTTATGTTTATCAACCATAAATTGTCGTGGATTTTCTTGGATTTGGTCAAATCATACTAATCCAGGTTCGAGAAATCAATGTTGGATCAAAGCCAATATAACATCTTTCGAAAGTGATTCTATTGACAGTGCTTATTTTCCAGTTTAAGCATTATTTCTATATTGATTGAAAGAAATATATATCAAATAAAAAATTAATATCTTATCTTATTTTATATTAGTATCAGAATTGTTTCATTAACTATTCTCTCGGCTGTAAGGAGGGTCATGTCGAAAAGAAGTGATAAAAAAACTGAAATTCGTTTGTGTGTGTGTCTGTCTCAGGTCAAAGGTCAAGATATATTAATATTTTTAAAACTTCATAAAACACGGTTGGGAGCAGAGATGGGTACGGTTCTGTTTTTTGCTAAACTGATGCGGTTGAGAAATTAGTGTCTGAAAATAAAAAGTTAAAGAAACGAATCAACAGATGTTGCACACAGCAATTTTTTTCTCTTTTTTTCGTCCAAAAAGCGTGTGAAATGAGCAAACCAATGATATAATATACATGGGAAAGGATCGAAGTATGTTTGCTGACAGTCAAACAAATAAAACTAAACACAATATGAATCCCATTTCTCTATCAGATATTGCATTGGTGGCTTTTGTACGGAAAACTGAATCTTTCTTCGTTTTGACGTTCAACGGTACAAAGATAACTTTTGTAGGCCAACATTTTTTTTTGCTTTTCAGTGAGAAGCTTTTTGATTTCGCTCATTAGTTTTTAGTAAGTGATTGTACGAATAATATAAGTTAAGTGACATTGTCCGATTTGAGGAAAATTTTATATTAAATCTCTAGATTGATTGATCTTTCCTAATCTTCTAGGATCGTATTAGAAAAATTGGATTCGACTTCCAAAGACTAACATAGTTGGTCATGAATCAATGTTTATTTCATTAATTGAGTAACAAGATTACGTAGGTCAATTCAAAAAAAACATAAGTCGATACATGAATTAATTACATGTGCGACGAATTCCAAAGAAAATCATTCAGTCTGCTTAGAAAAAGATCGTTATTGAAGCCATTGATGATACTTCCGACCACTGGATACATGATTGCATGTCTCGGACCGTTCTTCTCTGACAATAGTAACAACATCACCTCTAGATATACTGAGGGCATTCTCAATTGGTTGAAGGAGATGAGCTTTTCAATTCTAGATTAAAAAGACACACTGTCCCTGTTAAAATTTCAAGGACGACGTGCTTGTGGTCGACAGATGATCTAGAGATTCTGCTGATGCAATGTAAGAACTCGGTTTAGAAGTATCAATGCCATCGTTTCTAAATCTTCGTCGCCAGTTCTCATCCAAAGAATCTAATCAATCCAGATGCATCGTCAAAATACGGTGGATTGTACAGGCAGTGAATGGAAGAATGAAGTAGTTCAAGTTCTTCTTCGATACCGTACAGAATTCTTCATTGTCGCATTTAGAAGCATATATGTTGATCGCATGCTCTCTCATCAACCGGTATTGGATGTCGATGATTATCTTCACTCTTGAAGTGGAAAGAGCGAGATAACGAGTGTTATCTATACTGAACAGAAACAAAACATTCGAACAGGTACTTCAATCTATTTATTTCAATTCAACTACAATGTTGTCCCTTTTGTCTGCTTTCCGTTTCTTCAACGAGACCAATTAATTAGATCTCCATCAAAATGGGAGAATGTTGATCATCAAGACATTCTCACAACATTTCCGGTCGTATCTGAAGAAGATATTGGAGATGTCATGTTGGGTAAACATTGCATTTATTCAAACTTATCTAAACATGGGAATCTCTTTTCTCGTGAAGATGTTTTTCAACTGAAAATGCCAGAACCTTACGCACAAGAAAGGTCTTCGAGAGAAAATATTACTGACGACATTGATTATTCCCTCCAAAGATCGAAAGACTATCAGAACATCATACGTCTACCCACTTAACCGACTCACGGCAGTCGATTTACTTACCGTCCAGTTATTGAATTTTTCTCAGAAAAATTCTAAATTGGTGATGCAACTGGAAATCGCCATGTCGCGGGTGTTGCAGTCATATTGTAAGTGCGATAGGGTCTCTCTCTCATTCAAAAGATACCAAACCAAGCAGCGTCAGTTACCCTCTGGAAACTACATCAATCTTTTCTGTGACGCTAGTCAGATCTCTGACTTTTATGATAGTACTGATGAAGAACAAGAGTAACTTTGAAATAAACTTGAGCAAAAAATGCCCTTTTATGACGCTACCTGAATACTCGTCCATATTCCAGATTCATAAAAGCCTTTAAAGAGCGGAGGCATGATAACCTTTGAGAAAACTTGTATTGATTTCACTTCCAATCAGTTCTTGTTTATATTTTAGCCTATGATGTCCAACACAGATGCATTCCACTACTGTACAACCAGTTTCCATCTACGGCTGCCGAGCTCGTCGAGCTCTATCAGATGGGACTAAAAGGAAACTTTCAGGACACTAAATCTTTCAATGACATTATCTCCTGATATCTGAATGAGGATAAAAAGCAGCATAAAACACGGGTACGAGAAAGTACGCCTTTTGCCATTGACAGGTGTGCAAAACAGTTTCTTGTAGCTGGAAATAAGCAAAAAAGCTTTCTCCAATGTATGGTGCCGGCAAAATTCGATTTGGTGGATGGGCCGATTCCATGGTTTAACGCCACTCCTCCTTTGCCTAAAAAATATAAGATGAAAATATTTACTTAAGATTAGTAAAATACCCATAAAACTGTATTCCATTTACACATTTCAAAGAATCTTTTTTCGAATGATAGCTCCGATCGCCCTCTACTAAATTTCATATTTCAATCAACGAACTATGTATAAGTTCATCATACATATCATGGATTTATTATGAGAGGTCGAAGGTTTTAAATTACTTCTTAGTATTAGAATACATCTGTGAACGAATCAGTCTTGAAAGAGCGGACATTTCACTTAAAATAACCTACGTCGAGAAAATCCCTATTAGCTTCGGATTGCTACTAAAGAATCACCACAGTTGCCGAACCCGAGTTCTCAAGTGTGGCAGAAGGTATATTTACGATTTTGATCAAAGCCGTACATTCTCCTTGAAACAGCGCCATCTATATTGTAGGTGAACGCTTTTCACGAAAACAGTTAGTGTACTCTCTGCCAAAGTTGGAAACCTGAGTTAAAAATACAGCGACTCTTCGTGACATATTTGAAATTGAGAAGAATTATTATGACATTACGAAATAAATCATGGAAAGTTTTGTCGACTAATGGATGGTCGTAATGTAAAAGCTTGTTTATCTGAGATGAGTCACGGCTTCTTTTCTTGAGTGTAGTAGTTGTTTCCTGACTAGTTTACTTTCGTCAATCTAGGTCGAAAAAACATAATCGTAAATTAGTTTTGAGTTGAATTGGATTTATCGACCACATAGCTTTTGTCTTTTGTGCTCGGGAGTGAGTCAAATACTAAGTATTACTTAAATTAATAGTTTTTTGGTATTTTCTAGATTATTTTGAGTGGAAAATCAAACAGTAATTAATTATTTGAATAAATGCTATTTTTAGATTAGTCAAAGCGATGAAATACAAGGTAAGAATTTATGTATTATATATGTATTGAAATAAACCTCTTTTTATTATTTTAGAGTATCCATAGCGATAAAATAAAAAGTAAGTATTTTATAAATTTTGACGATACGGAGAGCAAGAACATGTGCTCCTTGAATTTTTCGAGCGTCTATTCCGTTTGAAGAATCGAAAAAATTTGATCTTTCGCCTTCTTTCCTAAAATTGAGTTTTTCAAGTCTTGTGCCAATTTGGTTTATTCAAACTGCCATATTCTTGCTTAACTTTGAAAATTGAATTAGGAAATGGCCTAAAAGCCGTTTCAGATCTAAACCGCTATCCGTTGAGATCATCGAATCCGAAGCTACCAAAAGCAGGGTGCCAGGTACCTTATTTCCTTAAGCAAAGGTATAAGAAGTTTCTATTTTCCCAATAGATAGAGCGTGTTTCACTGTATTTTTTTATGTCATTGGATCATTATTAAATAGTTATTGTTTTAATAAATTTTCGGTGGAATCTGTTTCTGTCGTATATATGCTGGTAACATGAACATGATTGCTTGTAAGCATTTTTGGATTCATTTTCGATAGAAACGAGATAGAGAACTGCGGTTTTTTTGCCGTTGGAAAGTAGATACGAAGACGCATTGGGCTCTGCATTACTGATTTTTCCCAAAAAAAACGGACTTGCTAGGTGATAGCGACAGGTCTTCTGAACATTTTTACACCATCCCAAGGTTCACATCATTAAGCTTGAGTGCGCAGGGAAGAAAATAGATTTTTAATCCAGGGGAGGAGAGGGGTTAATCTGACTGGAAACTTTGAAGTATTATGTTTATCTCTGTCCCATCCTGTAATCATTCGAAGATAACGTCGGTACGATCTGTGAGGATTGGGAATAGGGCATCCTAATTTTTACGCTCAAGCACTTGAGAACACCTTTTGGATCGTGTTATATAAATGAGATTTTTTAGCAAAAAATCGGACGAATTCAATTCTAAGCAAACAATTCCAGTTTTTCCTCGCATGTTCTCCACTGGTTATTGGTCGAAAATCAAAATAAATCATGGGAAATTGCTAGAAATCCATGAAAGCTTCAAGAAATCAAGACATATTAATTAGGAAATATTGAAAATTATCGAACATCAGATAAATCAATAGAAACGGTTAAGAGCAAATAAAAATTATTAGAAACCAATAAACATCAGGATCTCTTTTTTAATCTCATCGCTAGTAACTTTGAATGTTTTCCAGTGCTAACGATCAGTTTCCTCGCCCTTTGTACGACTAGAAAGGTTTCGCTTATTTAACTACTAGCTCTGTATACTTCTGTTAGAATTCATTGATTGTTTTTTTTTTGTAGAATGAAAATTTTGTCTGTCGCGAAGAGGACAATATCACATCTTTATACGCCTTTTAATTACATAATCGGGTGTTTTCCACCTTATTGCTTCTTCACTCATGCCTCGGTGTCGATTTCACGATTATTTACTGAATACTTCATATGTAACTTCGATTGGGATCGGGATATCATTTTATTATTTATTACTCGATTTGTGCGCCTATTCAGTTATGGCATGCTCTCAGTCGCACTAGTTCTATATCTCACTCTAAAGGGTTTCGATCAATGGCATATTGGAACCCTATTTACTACCATTCTCATTGGAGACATTATAATCACTCTCATACTGACAACGACAGCTGACGCACTTGGCCGACGAAATATTCTCGTCATTGGTTCAATATTGAAATTGTTCGCTGGCATCATGTTCGCATACGTCGATCGATATTTGCTTTTAGTACTCGCTGGAATAGTAGGGATAATTTCGCCTACCGGTGGCGAAATTGGGCCGTTCATTTCAATTGAACAAGCGTGTCTGATCGAGCGTGTGAAAGACAAAGCTCAGATTGCGTAAGTAATCTATCGCATTTTTTTCAAAGTAGAAAGACAAAATGGGTAAATCGTGATACATGTTCAAATTCAGCATTCATTTCTCGATTTTCAGAGCCATCTATGGTTGGTATAACTTTATCGGTTACATTGCAACTGCACTCGGTGCATTGAGCTCAGGCTATATGATTTCAAAACTGAGTCAAGATTATCATGTACACACAGTTGATGCATATCAATCTGTTATCATCGCCTATGCGGTCTTAGGTGCCACTAAAACCGTCATATACCTTTGTTTATCGTCACGAATTGAAACAAAGTCATCGTCAGATCCTGAACAAATACTACCCACGAGTGATTTATCTTCCCAAAGCAACAAGAAAAGTCTATCCGCTCATATATTCCATTGGCTCAACGGAAAATTCGGACTTCGTCAATCTAAATCACGTCGAACTGTTGCTAAACTTTGTGCCCTCTTCATCATCGATGCAATTGGTGGTGGTTTCGTTATGCAATCGATATTTGTCTATTGGTTTCACGAACGTTTCCATATGAGTTCCGAAACGCTAGGATTCATAATAATGTCTGCAAATCTAATTTCGGGCATATCTGCTATTTTGGTAACCCCAATAGTTGGTCGAATCGGTGCCATAAATACTATGGTCATCACCCATGTGAGTACTGTTCTCTGAGGAAAAAAAATGAAGCGATATTAGTATTCGTTCTAGATTCCATCAAATATTTTGCTGATTCTTATCCCTTTTATGCCAACAAAAACATCGGCTATTGTCGTGCTCCTTCTACGCTTTTCTATCAGCCAAATGGATGTACCAGCACGGCAAACATTTGTGGCAACCAGTGTAGATCATAATGAACGTTCGGCGGCCGGAGGCATAACAAATCTGGTTCGATCTGTGGGTCTATCCATATCACCAATGATTGTCGGTTATCTTCTGCAAGATAGTCGAAAGCCCCTTCTATTCGCATTGCCTTTTGTCATTGGTGGCGGACTCAAACTTCTTTATGATATCCTCCTATACTTTTCATTTGAAGTTTCGAGTCGAAGCCAGTGAATAAGTGTAAAACATGTACGCATTAAATCAGAATGTTTGGTCGGAACTGGATTCAAATTTTCTTTATTCAAAAATCGAATCTAAAGTTTATTTCCATTTCGGACAGATATGTGAGTCTGGTTCACAGATGAAGTCGGGCTGGTATACGGATAACCAATCCGGTGTGGTGAAAAAACTGTATTGGATCGATACATACTGGTACTTCACCTATGCGGAATTGGAAGTAGACTGCCATTTTCAGGAAAAAACGCTTCATTTCCAGAGAAAATTCTTTATCGGATATCTTGTACTTTTTGATCAAAATCTAATCAAGGAATAAACGATACACTCTTTATCACAAATAAGTCGTTTGTTGTGAATAGATTAATAACACAAATTCCCTCGTGTCTAATAATCAGTAGACTGAACTAATCATCTACAGTAGTGAGTATACTTACGGCAACTTCGACACTGAAAACAGTCCCAGATGATCATCAATCAGATAGAAAAAAAGATATAGAACAGGAAAGTAAAATTGCACTTGAATAATTTGAGCGTACACGATGAAGAAAATTCTCTAAAGAATGATCTTGTCAATATTTTCCTTAGTTTTCCATGCGTTGTCAACATCAAAATTTTCCGAATAAGTTGCCTTTCCTACAACTCTATTTCTATTGGGTACTGGCTTTTCGACAATCTGATCAAAATGAACCTGTCGTCAATTGTTGTTCCTTTTCTTCAATAGTTATAGGTCATATTTATCTGTGAATCATAAATCGTATTTATTGAAATAATAGGAAAATGATGATAATATTTCTTGTTTTTTGAAATCAATAAATAAAAAACAAAATGAATTTTAATTGAAAATTTTTCTATAAAATTTTCCGAATGTAGTTTGATAAAATTCATCTGTGTATACTGTTGATGTTAAAACATAAAGAATAAAACCTAATATTTGAGGTAAATAGGATAAAAAATAGGTAATCAATAAAATATATCGTTGCCATGATTGAAATTCTTGACAAGCATAAGAAAATGATAAAATAATATGTGGTAATGAACTTAATACAATAATTAACGGCGTTATATAATGTTCCCGATGAATTTTAAATTCTTTTTGAAAAAGTTCAAAAAATCTTTGATTTCTTAACTTTGAATGATTCTGAGAAAGTTTAACTATTAAAATAGTTATTGAGATAAATTGTATCGAAAATGGAATTAAATAATGAATTAATATATTTATGCGATTATAAAATGATAAAATTTCATCAATATAACTTGTTACACAATGTGTTCGATGTATAAACATATCTGATGAATCGTTTATAATTTGATAATAAATTAATTCATGAAAATGCATTAAAAGAATAATTATAATAATTAATAAATTAAAATGTCGATTTGATTTATTTCGAAATAAAACAATAAATAAACGTTTTATCGTAACGATACTTTGAAGCCAATGAAGAATTCGTGTTAATATTGATAATAAATACGAAATTATTTTACATGAGTATAAATTAAGGTTTTTATAGTAAAATAATGTTCCATTAGTACCTAAAATAATATGAAGAATTTTAACAAAAATAATAAATAATGAAAGTATATTCAATAACGATATTATCAAAAGAGTTGGTCCAACAGATGTTTTTTGGCAATTTCGACGGCGAAACGTTATCAAGCTAAATAAATTATTGGTTAAACCAAATAAGAAGATGAAAATGAATATTGATAAATAAATTTTTGTAACTAAATTCATATTTATTTGTAAATCTTTAATAATTAGTGAATCTAATGTAACTGTTAAGAATCGATTTGAAAATTGGCACATTTTCCCATAGAAACATTTTTGACAAAAGCAAACAAATTGTTTTTGTTTATTCTCAAGACAAAATCCATTGGAAAGACAATGAGAGCATTGATCAGCTGTATGATTATGAATAAAACATTCAGCATATTCAAGTTTCGGTTCACATATACAAAGATAATTTTCCTCATAAAAACATCTTAATGTTCGATTTTGATTTTCGTTTGATTGACAAATCTCATTATAAAAAAATGGATTTCTTGTTGATGATTTGTTAATAAGTATTTCTACGAATGGACAATGATTTTCTAAGGATAAATAAACAGTTGCATTAAGACTTGTTCGATTTGAATCTATATAATTACTTTACTCTTTTTTTGTATGTCATTTTTCTCCGTTATAACCTCGAATAAAAATAAATATTTTATTTTCATTCGTTTTATGTCAAAAAATGTTAATTGTGAGACATGACAAGAGAGATTATTCAATATACTGATAACGAGAATGATTGAGTTAAAGCACGTTTCATGCAAAAAGTAAATTTTCTAAGCTGAAATGTCATTTTGTTTGACCAATTCTATGAAACATCGCAATTGATTATCTTCATTTGGTTACATACCATTTTTCAAAATGATTATTATTTTAACCGTTATTTTTCTTATCTTGAATGATAAATCACGAAGTAATTTCTTGACACATTAATGAATTCAGTACCAATTCACTGACGTCTTTTATTTTTCTAGTACAATTGATTTCAAGTCAGTTTGATGGAAGTACACTATTCGACATCGAGTTTGTAGTTAGCCGCCGATCGGATGCAATGTATCACAATTGTTTTCTCATTCGAAATGTGAATCTCAAACGGATTGGTTCTGATGAATACGAAGGGAGTGATTATGTGCGTTTTTGTATTCGAACGCCTGACGAACAGAGAGTCGCGAAAAAGGCAGCACAATGTTCTTCTATCACTGATCATAAGTTTACATTCGAAGCATTGCATAGATCAAGTATGGAAGAGTTTCTCTTCGAGGTTATATCTGGAAGTAGTTTTATTTTTCAGATAGAACTATTGAATGGTTATTGAATAAAAATATTCCACTTGATTTGATCGCTGTATACCAACGATACGTTCTTGATCGAACAGGTCAAAGAAACACATCTATGTCAGAAGATCAAGCGTTCATATGTGTTTGTGGTTCTGAAGAAACATTTGGACGATACTGTGAATATAAATCACCAGAAAACAAATACGATCGTACCGATAAGTTCGAGAATTTGGTTCTCATGGTTTGCAAAAGACGTAAAAAAGTAGAGCCTGTAAATCGTCCGAAATCATGTTACTATCTACTTCCCTCATGCCTTGATAGTTTAAATAGAAAACGGTGTCTCGATTGGCGCGATATCTGTGATGGTGAAATCGACTGTGTCGGTGGTGAGGATGAGAATCAATGCATGAAGTTAGAAATGAACAGTTACGATTTTGCCTTCGAATTTCGTTGTCGAAATGGCTTATGTATTCCTCGAGCATTTCTCTTCGATGGACAATTCGATTGTTTAGACGGCAGTGATGAAAAATTGAAATTAGATCAACAACTATGTTACCAATCTCTGTCTATAGATTGCGAAGATCATTTATGTACCCGAGATGAATTTTCCTGTGGAGATGGTCAATGTATACCATGGTTTGATCGCTTCAAGCCACAACAGTTATGTAGGAATAGAAATGACGCGTTTTTTATGTGTGAGCATAAAGTTGGGCTACAAACCTCGGCAACAACTGGCGATTGTGAATTTAGTGATGCTGATGATGAACATTTACCCTGTGCTGATTTAATTCGTGACTACATTAGATTGAGCAAGGAGATTTTATATGGAGAGCTGTATGACATAAAACATGAACTATCGAGAAAATGTAAAACTACAGATCAATTGATACCAAGTTACAAGCACTTGTATTTCTTTTCACCATTTGTCAACGCGTATTTAACTTATGAAACAATCCAAAAATTCATTCATTTAGCCAGTGATCCAGTTATGCGCTGGTATCCAGATGTATTTTGCATGGGAAATCAAACTGGTCAATGTGTAACAGCAAAGGATGCTTTCCGACACCGGTCTATTCCATTCGATAATTTATTTAGAATAAAGTTAAAAGCGAACTCGTGTCAAGAATATCCACAGTATTTTTATCAATGCCCCAATTCAATTGAGTGTATTTCAAAATATCGACTGTTGGATGGCTACGCAGACTGCCTCGATGGATCAGATGAAAATGTCAAAGTCAATGATGACATGTTTCTACACGATCGATATCAATGTAAAACTGTTCCAGGAAAGATCATGGTACATCTGATTGGTGAGTAGCATCATCTTGAAAAGATAGATTTGAAGGAGTTATGTTCGGAATTGCAGGTAATGGGCAGGCGGGCCGTGCTGATGGTTCAGATGAGAAGTACCAACGGATTAACTGGGGACTCACCCTATGCGAACAAGCAGATGATGTAGGTTGCCAATTACTTCGACAAGCCAACGATAGGATTTTAACTAACAACGAATTAAGATTAAAATATCGATATCTTTGTGATTCTCTCTGGGATGCGCCGTATGGCATCGATGAAATGAATTGTTCATTATCAGGATGGAAGTGTCCACCGAACTGGAGTCATTATGACCGAAATGACACACCATTATGGAACGGAAATTGTATTCCACCGCAGAGTATTTGTGATGATAATTGGGACGCTGCCGATGGAAGTGATGAAATGTACTGTTCATTTGTAAGCAAAGCATTTCGATGGTCATGTCAAAACGTCACAACATGGAACTTGATTGATATTAAGATGAAGCCACATTTACTTGCAGATGGAAAAGTTGATTGTTTAGGAGGTCAAGATGAACGAAATACGTTAACATGTCAGGATGAGTATCAAATCGGTGAACGCTTCCGTTGTTTAAATGGTACTTATATAAACCAACAATTGCTCTGTACGTATGCTTGAATTGCACCCGATAGAAGTTGTTGCTATTGCCACATTTAGGTGACGGAATTTCACACTGTTCGGCCGGCGAAGATGAATCCAGTGGATATTGACAGCATCCCGCGAATCTACTAACCAAACGCTATTGCAAACCAGGAATATTTGATTGTGCATTATATCTAGGACCGAATGCTACTTTTCGCGATCCAGCCTGTTCAAAAGGAAGTATCCGCTGCGATGAAATTAAAGAATGCCCTCGGTATGGCTCTGATGAACAAACATGTCATGCTCCAACAACTTCGACATATAAATATTCGAGTAACGTCAAGAAAAAAGTTGAAACTACGGAGAAACCCAATACCGATGATTTTGATTATACTATTGATGATCATTTTGTCTGGGCTTGTGATCGTGGAATACCAATCGAAGTAATAACATCCAGAACACTACGATTTGTTTGTCTATGTTCATTAAGTTCTTACGGTAGCCATTGTCAATATCAATCTCACCGTGTAAGTATTATCTATATAATAGAAATGATCCTAAATCCATCGGCAGAGAATTTCACCAGTATAAGAGTCGTAACGTCTCTTCAATATCAACATAAAATAATTGACCATATGAAACTATCATTCGATTGGACAACATTACCGTTAAAAACAAAACAACGATTTCGTCGTCACTATTGGTCAAAATCTAGTTAAACTATACAGTGTACATCGTTGTCCAATAAAATATCCATTTGTACCAACTTTTCGTCTCGTTGTCATACTAAATCCAAAACGTTCGAAATCATGTTCGAATTCAATGATAAATTCGTGTGGAATTCACAGTCAAAACTGTCGCATCATTGACAGTGCAACGTTTTATAATAGAATCGATCAATATAAAGATTTTCTGTATATTTGTCCGATTAATCGGTATGGCCATTCGTGCTCTTTTCTTCATTCTTCATATCTTTCGTCAAGCGAATCATGTTTAAATAATGGAATTAGGTATTTCGTGTCAGTAGATGATTATGACGATGCTTTTATAGATTATATTTGCTGGTGTCCGACGAACTTTTTCGGAAACAGATGAATTGAATCGAATAAGTCGAAAAGAACTAATGGGCATGTCGCTTTTTCTATTTGTAATAGGTGTGAATTTAAAACAAGACCGATGCGAACATTCTCACCCTCTTCTTCAGCAATAGCAATGATGTTGCATATCAACTATCGAAATATGTATTCAAATGAATTAGTTATCTTCGATCAATACGTTGTGGCTATGCTCAATGCAACAATTAGTTCGCCATATCATTATGGGGATCATTTAAATGTAGGCAAAGACCTTGCCTTCTTGCATGTTTATGCATCAGGCATGTCGAAATTCTGACGTTCGGTGTGTTTATGTGATTTCAAGCATCGGTCAGCATGTCAACAATGTTCTTATGGTTCGTTATGTCAATACAGAACAGCGCAATTTGGCTATTCACTAGAAACTCTATTAGCATCAAACGATCAGACGGACGAGAGTGAGTCACTAGCAAACATTTCATCAACATCGGCAAGAATCTATCTAATTTTATCGATTCTCATGTTTTCTATTGGTTTACTAAGTAATCTATCTTCAATAATACCTCTCTTACATTCAACACTTCTTCGTACATTTCTTGTTTACATTCTCATATTTACGTGTATTGTCAATCAAATAACGCTGCTTAGTCTTGTTGTACAAATAATTTATGTCCGTTTGAATAATTCATCTAAAGGTCAGTCATATTTTATGTAAATCAGCATCCTATACGATTAATGCGTTTACATTTATAAGTAAATGGTCAACAGCATACATTAATATTCTCCGCCTTCGACAATCCAAGCAAGTGCTAACTAATGCTGTTCGACGTCCTAACATCAAACGAAAAGTATTCATATCTTCCTTTGTCTCTCAGCACAATTTCTCTGTTTTATATAGATATTTTTATACATGATGTTTATGATTGTTGTATCAGCGAGGACAATGTCCGATATCTTGTTTCATCGACTATTGATCCATAATATAGATGTCGGTGTGAAATCATTCCAATGCATATCTGAACCGTACGGCTTGTAGGACACATTCGCTACGACGTCAATGGCATAACATTCTTTTTTCCCACTCTTCATTTACCCATCATCGATTTACAGACAAGCCTTTCAGAAATCACCTATTGTGTGGTGAACTAAAACACATTCATCTTAGTTAGCAAACCTTATTGGCACGCGCTTATATTGAAAGTTTGAGTCAAGCTTTGCGTGTGAGTGAGTGCATCTTTATATTTAAATAATTAATTGTAATAAATACTACTGTTCAATAGTGATTATGTATAAGCAAAACCTATAAAATGACAGTCTTTTGATTTTGAAAAAGCGAATCGAATACGTTTCGTTAGCGATTCACTTTCGATGCTATTGCACGTCCAAAATCGACATCAATGTTAGATAGAAGATTCAGTGTACGCTGAATGACATTTTTGTCAGTACATTGTGATAAACTTCGGGCAATATTGTTGATCAAATGCGCACGACCTTGGTTGTCCAACACATGCTACAAACAGAAAATAACTCCATATTTTCGTAGAATATAGAACGAATCAAAGTCGTACTCGATAGAAGTTACGTGGTTGGTAAAAATCATCTTCAAAGGGCATATTTCCAGGCCCAGCATGAGCATTGTGTTTAGCCACTGCTTGTTCATTATTAAGACTATCAGGGTGTACTGTAAAGTCATCTATAATATTTGAATGAAATTAGTATGCTGAGATTTACCTTTTCGAAAATTAGGATTTGTTTCTGGATTATTGATAGGAATGAGTCGGCTGTTTGGGCCGAGTCGACGTTGCTGCGCATCGATGTAGGCAGATATACGCATCTAAAAAAAGAGTTATCTGATTGCCTGTGCTATGCAGCATATCTGGAGTGTAATACTCGCAATATTTGATCAGACGATACATCGATACCAGGTGGTAAATTCGCAGGAGTGAAAGCGGCCTGTTCAATTTGAGAAACATGATTGGTTGGATTTTCGTTTAGTATCAATTTGCCCACTCGATGAAGAGGATATAATTTATGCGAGAATATTTTCGTCATATCAAATGCATTGAATGGACACAATTTCGCCTGCTCATCAGTCATTACCTTGGTGATCAAGATAACGTAGTTGTGTGTAATGAATGTAATACTGCCTTACTTGAATGTAAAGTGTCCAACTGGGATAATTCTTTGCAGCAATTGCATCGGATAAATCGGTCTCCGACAAAGTTGGATGTTCGCCTGGCATCAATTTCACTTTTTTAGTACCTCCACTTCGGATGTACTGATCGCAGTATGACAAGAGTTAGTGATGGGATCGGTTCGATTTGGCATTTTCAAAATTCGGTCCTAGTCGGTCCGGTTCAGAGATAAAGTTTTTCGATTCGATTCGGTTCGGTTTGAATTTAAATTATTCCTAGTGAACCGAACACAATTTTTCTTAGCGTTAATTAATAAGAGCTGCACAGAAATATATAGTCAGAATAAAAAGATGTCGTCCGAAGTAGAAACAGTGAAATTCATCTAATTGGAATGTCTCATAATTAAATTACACACAATATAAAAGTAGAAAATTAACAATATTGTTTTGTGTTTTGTTTACACATATTTAACAGTTGAGATACATGATTGTTGTTATTTTCTATCTACTCCTTTGTAAAGATTTCCCTTAGTGTAAAATTCTGAAAAATTCTAATTGGCTAGATGTCGAATTACTTACTTAGATCAAGTAAATTATATTTATCACAATCGGTAGAGAAAATAAAAAAAGAATTATTTTTCAATGGATCAGTTAGAGTTCCTTATCGCATAGAATTTTATAATCTCCTTCCATATAAGAAGTTCGCGAAGACTTCTAACGTTGTCGATGTTGCAAAATTTTATAAGGAACTGCTAGTGTGTCCGATGAGTTTATATAATTTCAATGTCTAAATTTTGTGTTCCGTTCAAACTTTTTCCAGGTGATTATAAACCTAGTTTGGAACTAGGGGTCTACAAAGTTCAGTTCAAGTTCAGAACCGCTTATTTTCCAACAGTTCAGTTCATTCAAAAGAACTGTTTCAACAGTTCAGTCCGTCCACAATCAACGATTTTGCAGTTCTAAAGTTCATTTGAGTCGGTTCTCGAACTTGAACTTGTGCACCTCTATTTGGAACTCTTAACAACTGTTAACCCCTCAGCTTAATTATTTTTAAACTTGGCTATGAAAAAGATACAACTAATTCGTAAAGAAACGTTTAAATAGCTTTTAAAGTATGACTACTTTTGACAAGGCTCTTCTAATCGAAGGTTTTGAAGAAAACCTCTAGTATTTGGAGTGTGAATAATATATTTCGGCTCGGTTCGATTTTGCAAAAACATGAACCGATCCCATCGCTGACAAGAATTATGATCAATGTTTTCAATGCAGAGCAATAGTGTTTCACTCGATAGTTACTCGAAAATGAAATTTGACCCAGACATATTCGTTCTTACTGTTGATCATTTTGAATATATGTGCACCTTAATCGTTTATAAATCGAAAGCTGTCGGGCACACCACGATCAGAATTAATCATAATGATCTAGATCGATGAATGTCGAAAAAAGAGAAGAAATCATAAAAGATAATTATACGTGCTTGATGCACAGTTTCAATATGATTAGCGACGAAATTCCAGTACACATTGGGATCTTTCATATTTGTTTGTGGATTGCGTTTCAGCGCACGAGCCAATTCGGGAAACTTAAAGTAATCAAATGAAATATATCCGACAAGAACGACAACAACAAATTCGTACTAGAATCGGATTTCGAATGAAGAACCCAGGCGAACTGGTAGTAACTAAATCCCAAATACCTGTCATAGATAACATAATGATGGTTTGATTTAAATGTATGAAATAGGTATACCTTCATTAGTATACATCTTCGCTGTGAAACCGCGTGCTTCGCGAATTGTGTCAACAGGACCGCTACTATCGGCTAGAAAGGAAACAGATCGACTTCTGACCCTTCGATCAATAAAACTGATGTCATCTTCTTACGACCGAGTGCTAGATTAAAACGAAATGTCAAATTGACCTACATCTTTTCTCGAACAATACAGTTATACGCAATGAACCCTTTGGAATGTACAGCTCGATCAGGAGCATTCTGACGACTCATTTATGTAGATTCGTGTTGAAAAATGGATGAAATTCGTCAAATAGTATCTTCCCTGTGTCTGCCAATGTTAAACCAACGAAACAACAGATAATCTAGAATAGATATGAAGGAGAAATATTAGTTACATTCAATTATTATTGGTGTTCTCCTGAATGTTTCTTGATTAAATACAACTAAGTTGATGTGTATACGCCTATTCATCTGTAGTACTTATAGATTAATACCAATATCGATTTCATTTCATTCCTAATGTACTTACCAATGAGGACCAATGTCTCGTTGAAAGCGATGAATTTGTTAAGGAAATAATTTCATAGTATTTTATTCAAATTTTTGCTGAAAAACATGTACAAGTGAGGATATCAATCCAGAAGTATAAATATGTAACTGACTTCGAAGAGATATACATAGAATGGGAAGACCTTCAATACATGCATTCAGGTATAACAAACACAAATATTGATGTTTATACATTTCATGGACGTCTCAACTATACCATTTATTATCACATGTGTCGCTAAGAAAGAAACAGAATGTTTATTTCGCGTGGGTAAGACTCAATGGTTCGTAACGATGTTTTTTATTTGAGAATATTTTGGTTATATATCGTTACAACGATGTGAATTAGTAGAAATGAATTTCTTCCATATGATTAACGATTGTATTATATCATAATCAGAGTATCGAGAAAAGTTTGGTCGGTAAAATAATAAAAGTTTGTTTGCAGTAGGTATGAAATCAGTTTTCTTTCTTAAGAATACTTTTGATTGGTTCAAAAAATCGCATACTTCGTGGGTCAACCGCCAACACACTGCTGTTCAGTTGATTGCATATATGAGCAAAGGCTAAATGATACGAAGGAGACGCAAATGCAAGACTACCACCCATACCTAACAACAAAAGATGAAGTATTTCAAATCGGATTGCATTATTGTCTCACCTTTATGACCAAATGCATCTTCGCTCAATACATTGAACATATTGTCATACAGTTGAAATCCTCCTCTTGCAAAAGTTGATGCTAAACCAAACATAATTTGATCGACTTCATTTTCAGGTGTAACATTTTCAGTAGCCAGTGCTAATACTTTCTTGCTTAGAAGACATTTTTTCTTTTGACCGTTCTCATCAATATCATCGATAAGCGAAGCATAGATTCGCGCCATAGTATGAGCATTCGCAATACCATTAACAGCGGGCAAAGCTGCACGATGTAGTCGAGGATCATTGAAAAAATAAGCCTCACTATTGGCTGATTGCATAGGGAAAGCACCACTGCACGTAATAGTTCTCGCTACTATCGGTTCCATCGGAGGAAAATTAGCAGCAGGTATATTACTCTTAAAGAAGAATAAGCAATAAGGTATTTATTGATAATTACTGCTCAACATTCTGATTTTCCTACCTCTTTTTCAAGGAGAGGAGCGACGCGTGCTTCAACTTGGTCATCAGGTATTCCCACGTAGAATTCAGAATCTAATTCGTCACGAACAAATTGACTATAGGAACGATGCTGTGGATCGACGCGTTGAATCAATTCACCAACTAAAAATCCAACCGTGTAAGCATGATAACCGTGACCTGATCCAGGCTTCCAGTAAGGTTTCTGAGCAGCTAATAAAGAAGTCATTTTGTTCCAATCATACACATCAGCTGGCGTAAGATCCTGATCAACGCATGGTATTCCAGCGCGATGAGCAAGAAGATCGCTTACCGGTATATCCTTCAATGATATATGCGACAACAAAACCATCATCAATATAGAATACATACTTGCTTCCCATTAGCACCGAATTCGGGCCAATATTGAGCAACAGGTGTCTGATAATCAAGCCATCCTTTTTCGACGCATAGTGCAACAGCTGCAGCTGCAATTCCTTTGGACGTTGAGAAAACAAGTTGTAGCGTATCAGGTGTGTATGGTTTTTGCTTGGTTTTTGCGTCTTTCCAGCCACCCGCCAGATTCACAACACATTCCCCTCGATAATAAATACATAAGCTTGCTCCGACATCGAGACCTTCATTTAAATTTTGTTCAAAAACTGCACGTATACTCTCCCATCCCGCAGCTACATGGCCAAATACATTGCTGTTATTGTTTGACTCTACGGACATTATCAAATATTAATATGCGTAATAGCGCACGTTTTCTTCTCACACGTTCTTTTGCGACAAACACAGAGTATAAACGGACAACTTTTTTTTCTCGTTCTCATATTGGGGGCAACGATACGATACACAATCTTTTTGAAGGATTGTCTTTGACGATGCAGGCAAGACCAAAGCTTGCTCTTTCAATTTTTATCTCAGCTTGATGACTCATAAAATGTAATATTCCACTTGATTGGCGTTTTTGTTCACGAACACAGCTATAATGCTAAAGAATTATTTCAATCACACATCGCGTCACTGAAAAGTTAAGAAATTTTTCGTTTTGCTAATACTTTCAAGAATGATGAATCATTTGACTAATCGCAGAACGAAATAAGAAAGAAAATTTTATATTTCACACTGTATCATACCAGCGATGATACCCATCAGCAGTTCAGATATATCCACAGTTTTAGTTGATTCATGTCAGTTTACTAACGTTTAGCGAGTATGAGGGTAAATGGAAAATGCGAACAACGTTTAATTTTTTCTTCATTGATTATTTTTCCATCTGTGCACCAATTTAGTAAAACGTTCTCTATTAACTTGGTACCGTTTAAATTGCATACTGTAGCGGAGTCCAAAACACAGTCAGCTCGACTTTTAGTGTTATTTCCACCTTCATAAATGCTTTTTTTCTAAATAATTTTTCAATTCTCCAAAGAAGGTGTACATTTAATATATGAATGAACGAAAGACTTCTATTTATTTCCTTCATTCAACTAAGTACTTGCCTTGTATTTTATTCGAATCTCAATCTTGCTAAGATGCCGTTAAATTTCTATTTAGGCGTCTATAAATACCTTATGTGTTTTGTTTTCTACCCTTATGAACGGTCTTATAGTCTCCCTCAAATGCTCATCTCACATCTAAATCGACAAAAACAATCAACATGAACATAGAATTATAGAAAGCTCAGCTACTTCCAGAATCTTTTATATATAACAATATACCAGCAAGAGAGAAAATCATATTAATCTCGATGAGACAAAACAAACAAAAGGTAATTTTCATCGACATAGTGTACACTAGCGTCTTGGATGTTCTTTTATTAAAAGAATACAAAAAGGCCGTTAGTACTAAAGTGTGATATAAGATGGAGTTCGACTGGAATAGTTTTATTCGCAAATACCAATCATTTGGAAGGAAAAAAATGAGACACTATTTGATTTATTATTTAGCAACGAATCTCATCAGCAGATATGCAGAATAGATCCGCGTGCAGTCGTGTGGAAAAAATGTTGCAGAGTGATTACCACCGCCCGGATAACTTTTGAAAAATGTTTCACCATCGCGTGATTTGAGACATGACTTTTAGTAAAAGAAAACTTTGGCGACGTAGGGCAAATTTTTATCTGATTGACAGCTTCTACATTTCTGCTTATACCATTGTTTTCTATGAAGTAAGGGAATGTGCTGACATTCATGTGTTGTTTTGTTGATCTTTGAAAAAAAAAAGGAAATACGGAGCTTTAGCTCATATTGTTAACTAATTTACACGGAATAATGAAAGACAATTTCAATTGAGAAACATTTACTTTCACCTTAATTTGTCTTCAAACGATAATTAAATACGACAAAATCGTACGTATACCTATCCCAATCAAATATTTCAGTACAAAAAGTATTTTCATGTTGTTTTCTCTCTTTTGTCATTTAGCACAGAAAATAATATTTCATTGCTTATTGATGAAATATAATTAATTTCTGAGTCATTAATCAACAAAATATGTTGACATACGCCTTTCGAAAAGTTCGAAGAAATTTTATCATCGAACAGATCTTTTTGAAGATTTACTTCCAATATAAATCAATGTGTGATATTTCATTCGTAAAAGACAATTTTATCAGTCATATTTATCTTTGTTCATCCAATATCATGAGAAAATATCAAATAAAACAAGCGAATAATCTTCATTTCTTGTTCCATTGTTATTTTCTATCTGACATTATCATTTTACCTCATTTACAATAATATATTTTTTATTTTAAAAATTTACATTACAAGACGATAAGAATATTCACAAGTTTTATGTGAAAATCTCAGAATTTAAATGAATAAAATCTGTTCATATGTCATGTGAAATGATTTATGATAAGATTCTCTTTTTATACAATTAATTCAAAATGGAATATTTAAATATAAATGTCATTTAATAATTCATCAGAAAAATCATTATATTTAAACAAACCGTTGATCACAATTCGAAATTAATCTCATCTATCGACAAGTTCATCGCTTTTATATTGATTTCAAATTCAAATCAGATAAACAAATTCAACATCTTCTTCTCAACTTTACACTGAAAACGTTCTGATCTTATTGGAAAGGTTTCCACTAAATCGAAATTCATCGACTAATCAATTCTAAGATCTCTTGATGAATATGGAATAACATTTATTTTTACAAATTATTTCAAATCGAATTCATCCTCTTAAGACCATTTTCCAATTTCAATTCTTAACCAAACTATTATAACGAAATGAAGTAATCTAAGTTTCAAGTGTTTTCTTTCAAAAAAGATTCAAAGACTAAAAATAATGTTGAAATCGAATTATTCATTAAGCTTCGTTTCATCTGGCCTAGCAAACACAAGTCTATTTCGAAAGATTAGGTCGAACGTATAAATTTTAAAGTCGACCAATTACAATGAGTGAAAAACTTCTCACATCAAGGATTTATTTTATTCATCCTTTCTTCTCTCTTACTGTTCTGCATTTTAACCATTTTTTTAATTCCCATTCGTTTTTTTTCTACAACAAAAGTTTAAAACAAACTAGTAAAATGTTTTTATTCTTTTTCTTCCGACATTCACATTTCGCGATGGCCACGTCTGCAACTAAAGCACGATATGCAACCTATGCAAAAGGTAAAGGGACTGTTCAGTGTTATGGATGTTCTCAATCGTTTTGCTTTAATCATCTCACAGATCATCGACAACAACTCAGTCAACAATTCGACCAAATTGAAATGACACGAGATCTTCTATCGTCAAACACTAACAGAACACACCGACAACCCACAAAATCATTCACTCATCGATCACATCAACCAATGGGAACAAGACTCGATCAATCTCATCAGAAAATTAACAGCAGAAGAAGCAAAACAACACGTACAGATATATACAACTTGTCACTTATCGGAAATGGAAAAGAAATTGAATGAGTTAACAGAACAACTGAGAGAGAGAGTCGAAATGAAAATGATTTTATGGAAACAGATCTTCTACAATGGAATGAGAAACTGACTCGGATGAATGAAGAGTTACTGAAACTACCGAACATCAAAGTGAAACAAAGTTCAACACCATTGATAACAAAGATCAATGTTCAGACATTCTATGGTCAGGGTAAAATAATTCTTCATCGTTGATGGGTGATTCTCGTACACATCGAGATTCACATTAAATATCATTTTGGTTTTTGTAGGTATGTCAAATATCCCAAATATCAGTGTAAATGTAAACTGGGTGCAGAATGGTGTCATAGTAGCTGGCGGTCATGCGCAAGGTAATGGACTTAATCAATTAAACTACCCATATGGTATATGTATTGATTCTCAGGAGACAATGTATGTGGCTGATTTTGGTAATCATCGTATTGTGGAATGGAAGAAAGGTGCGACGAGTGGTCAAGTAGTTGCTGGTGGCAATAGACAAGGCAGTCGAGATGATCAGTTGAAGAATCCAATTTGTGTTGTCGTCGATGATGAGACTAATTCGTTGATTATAAGTGATTGAGTTAATAGTAGAATAAAGCGATGGTCTCGTCACAATGGCACAAGTGGAGAAGTGATCATTTCTGATGTGATATCTGCTGGAATAGGAATGGATGGTGGCGGATATCTCTGTTTCCGACTATGGGAGACATGAAGTTCGACGATGGAAGATTGGTGATCGAAATGGAGAAGTCGTGGCAGGTGGAAATGGACAAGGAAATCGACTTGATCAACTGTATGCACCTTGTGGTGTGTTTGTGGATAAGGATCATTCTGTATATGTGGTGGACAGTGGTAATCATCGAGTGATGCGATGGTGTGCAGATTCACGAGAAGGAAATGGGATAGTCGGTGGAAATGGAAAAGGATAAGGAACGAATCAACTGTATCGTCCTCTGAGTTTATCATTTGATGGAGAAAATAGTTTGTATGTGGCTGATTGTTATAATCGTCGCATCCAGAGGTTCACTATTGACGTGAAATAATGTTTAGTTTATTTTCTCTTTATTATTGATCGACGAGTTTAAACTGGAAAAGACTTCTTTTTTGTCACCAGTACGCGTAATTCAAGTGACGAACTTTAATAAATTGTGAATATGTTTTATTATTCATTGCATCGTGTATTCGTACAATGCAAACGAAAGACGAATCATCTTCAAAAAAGTGAAACTGGATGAAGAATTTTCAAGATGGTCTTCCTCGTGTGTTAAAATCGAACTTCCCACCCAGGAAATGAGTAACTGCCTAATTCGACCTATAATATAAACTTAGAATTCGTCATACAATTTCATACGTATCTAAGAATTGATTTAGTTATATATATATATCCCTACACACCCATCTCTTACTAAATCTATTCCTAAACTTACATAAATAGATATGCATATGTATTTATACTTGAATTGATATGAATCTGTCAAAAGTCCATTTATATAATAAAGGTCGAATTAGTCAATTCATAAGTGTGAAATATATTTATGGGTATTTGAACATTCTGCTCTATTTGATGAAAAAGACGTTTCTATATCGTGATTATTTCCGACTTTCTACATAGAAAGATGATGGATGACTAACTAAACACAGAAGGAGAAAAAGTGAATGTTCTTAGTCGCTGAAAAGATTTTATTTGGACAATAGGACGATTTACGTGTACAATATTTGATGAAACCATCGATTCAGAAACATGTACAGTAAACCTAGTTCGATGGGTAGGTTTTTAGATAAATCTGCACAGATCTACTGAGAACATTCGCTACAGAATGCTCTTGACAGTGTTCTTTGTCATCAATCATCGTCTGTTATATATGAATAAAAAATCTAAAGTCACGCGATCATTCGTTGTTTCTTAGATTATAGAAAGGTATATTTAGCATAAAGTTATGACGCCAGTCATTTAAGTCTTTTTCGTAATAAATCATTTTGCATAAAAAGGACTTTCTTGAGTTGATTTCATAATTTAATCTTTCTTTCTCAATCGACGTGTACCTTAAAATTACAATGGATATAACAAATTCCTTAAAGCGTTTTATTCGTCGGCTGCTAATTTCTGTTAGAGAACTTAATTTATTTTCCACATTCGAAGATGATGATTCCCATGAACTTCGTAATCAAATTCTTGCTACACGTATTTATCTTAGTTTGTTAATCGTTTCTGTACTAAGTCTTTGTATTTATACATCACTTGTCTCAATTACGGAAACGATCATTATTGACAAACCCACATATAAACAATATCAAAAACTCATCGAAAATAATCACAATCCTCAATGTCAATGTAAATACATCTCAATAGTTTATGATCAATTTATTGATTTACAAGCAGTTTTTCATCCTGTCTGTTCATCGGATTTTGTTAGCGACAAATGGATTTATTTTCTGCATGGTTTAGATGACGAATCGTATAGCAAGACTAAAGATTTTCATCGCAATGCCGTATATTCTTTTGGACTGCTTCGTTCCTTATGTGAATTGGCTAAAACAACCGTTAACGAAAATGTCCAACAACAACTACCATTGAAATCTTATATCACCTCTCACGTCAAAGGAGTCGATGGATTTTTTAAAGAAATTTTCTCATTTCTTGACACCCTTATTCTAACAGAAGAAACAAAGTTAACACAGTTACTGACAATATTCCGTCGTCTTATCATTACACAAGAACTCATCTCCACACAATCAACAAATATTCGGTTGTTTGCAGAAACATCGTCCTTGATGCCAGGACAACAGCGAAATCCTACCGTTACAACGCGGACCTATTATCATAAAAAAGTCGAAACACGCTGTGACTGCAGACGTTCCACATGTGTTGAAGAATATATACTTGAAAGTGTGAAAAATAAAAATATTCTGTTCATCATTCCAAATTTCTATCAAGGTTGTTTTATTACCGATTCGTTACTTCAATCGAGTCTTACTTATTTCTACAATAAAACATGCATTGAACAACTATTATTTCATCTAAACTCTTCATTGATTATTACTCCAATCAATTTAAATTTGTCATCAAAAAAATTATTAAATATTGACGAAACTGTTGACGAACTAATTAATCATTTGATGGTCTATGAATGGAATAAAAGTATTAGTTTTATGAAATATTATGAATTATGTGAGCCACTTCAATGCATTTACACATATAATCATCGATTTGTTATAACTTATGTTATTACCATTCTTTTGGGTCTTCTTGGTGGTTTAGTAACTGTACTTCGAATTTTGGTTCCATTCGTTATACGAATGATTAGAAAGAAGCGAAAAGACAATGATATACGTAAGTATTGGACCTGTTTAAAAAACATGTTATTGAAAACTGTCGTGTAAAATCGTTATTTTCATAGTAGATTTCGTGTATCAACATTAGAAAATTTAGATTAATATTTAGTTTCGAAAGCATTCGGAGTTTGTGCTTTGTCCAATGATACGAGACTTGTAACTCAGATTTGGAAGGAGATGGTTTCGTTATCGAATAACGAAACGATAAAGAAACAGAAAATGAGCAAATTGATGTTTTCCGCTTTTCTTTTTTTCATATCTTAGGTATCTCCAAGCGATTATGGTTGAAGGAGAAAATAAAAAATTTCAATTTGTTCAAATCGATTCCACCTTCAAAAGATTATGAAATCATTTATCCTCAAGTTGTGTCTACATATCTTTATATAATTGTATTTCTTTTATCATTTGTTGTTCTCATCATTTATACATCACTCTTAACACAAACAGTTACTGTCATTGTTCGTTCACCATCGATTGAACAATATGAACGATTGAAAGATCAACATTCGGATACTCTTATATGTGAATGTACACAAATTTCGATTGATTTACAAACATTTATTCAGTTATCACCTGAATATCATCAAATTTGTACGAGTATTTATGTCACAGATGAATGGTATAACTATTTGCGCAGTTTTACTATTTTCAATGGTACATCTGAAGACATAGGTATACTTCCCTTTGACTTTCGTGCAACAACTGGCCCGAGTTTCTTTCGTACACTTGAGTTGTTTTGTAAGATTGTGGATGATATTATTCAGAATCATCTCAAAATATTTAATTCAACTATTTATGTCACAGGAACAGTCGAGGAAAGGTTGAATTTTCTCGAACAACATAATCAAAGTGTTCAGTTATTTAAAAGCACAATTCAAAATACCTTCTTCTCTTCTTTAGAAATGTTTTTTGATATTTTACATGGCAATACTCTCTTTTCTTGGTCAATGACAAATCATATGATAACTCTCCGGTCTTTACCATTCTTATCTATTGTAATGGCAACAAGAACTTATGATGAAAATTGTGTATGTGTGTACAGTGGTAAAACCTGCTTTGAGCCAGCACGTATCTTCCATCTATATTACAACGGTACTAAGATCGATCACGAACGTTGGACCGTTCCATACATTTACAGCGGATGTTACATATTAACAGGTGTCATGGCTTCTGATTTACGATGTTTATATCATCCATCATGTCTATCTGAATTAATCAAAAATATCCGACCAACGTACAAAATGAATGCTAGTCTATTAAAAGAACATTCATCAACTTCGAAATTTAACTCACGAACACCAATTTTCTTATTGATTCGCGAAGCCATGGTTGAACGATGGAAGGAGAATATTAGTTATGAGCAATACTATGAAAAATGTAATCCAAAACGATGTACATATACATATGCACAACGATTTCTTATCGGTTATATAATTTCAACAGTTTTTGGTATTGTTGGTGGATTATCATCGATACTGAGATTAATCATACCGAATTTAGTACAATTTGCCAAGAAAATGTTGAAGAAAATAAGAAATGAAGATGATAACAATGATCAGGACGACGAAGAAAATCCAAGAAGTATGAGTTTTCAATCATCTTCTCTCTACACAGCCATTTCGGTTATAATCTGTTGAATTCGAGAATAGATTAGAAAAACGATATTTAATAAGTTAAACGGGAGATAGAAGAACTCTTTTCCACCCAGATGGCTTTGATATATTATGAGCTTAATGACTTTTCGTTCAGGATTATTGTAAATTCATCCTGATGATATTTCCAATCATTTACTGAGAGAAAACTTAACAAAACGCTTGGTTATTGTACTGAAAAATGGCACTTTTTTCTAACGACCGGATATCTTCGTAGAAACGTTAAAAACACGCATATTTTGTTATATGATAGTTCAAGATTATCTCTGATGATATCAGAAGATAAGAAATGCGAATAATCAATTGCGTTTGACAACTGTTTTAGTATCACTTTTCCTTCAATGAAACATCTCAACTTTTAAAGAAACATATACATAACAAAATTGAATCGAGGTCTTAATCGTTGTCCGCTGATAGGTTTTCTATTCGAACTCGAGTGACGCATCTGCTCAAAATTTGATTATGTTGATTTTTTAAATTTGTAGACTTTAACGATCGATTACGCAAATTTTCTTCGAAAATAATCATATTTATTAAAACTTTGAATCTTTTTCAACATCCATCTTCAAAAATTCCCCCATCAAGACCAATTTTCGAATATGAAAAGGTTCTTCAATTGAAATTACAAATAAGTTCCACACGTCTTTATATATTTCTCTTATTTTTCTCCTTAATTGTGACTTCTATTTATGCTTTTCTACAACGAACAAATGAAAGAAAAATCTATTCCATCTCATCTTACATCGAATATGAAAATTTACAAAATAAATTTCCTTCAAATTCATTCTTTTGTCCATGTACAACAGTCGGAAGTGAATATTCGACATTTATTTCACTTCGACCAAAAATTATACATCCAGCCTGTACGAATTATCTATTTCGGGCTGCTTGGATAGTTGATTTCGTTAGCTTTGAATTTGCACCAATTGAAGAAAATTTACGTATAATTTTGATTTATTATTTGCCATTAGCATCTCAACTTTGTATGCAAAGTCAGACAATCATTCAATATAATGTTAAACAATTTCTAAATACAATTTATACAACATCATTTCTGACTAATAGAGAAGAATTTGAAAAATATTTTCATACCCAAATTGAACAATTGAAACAAAGTTTACCCTCGGAACTTAAACGAATTATGAAAATCAGTAGTATTATCACTTCAGCAAATAGTTTGATGAGTGCAGCAAAAACAAATTATGAATGGATGTTTATGAGTTCCACGGGAGAACAAATTGGTTTTCCTATGATTGGTGATATTATTCTCATAAGAACAAAAGTAAAATATTATTCAAACCAAAATTATTCATGTAAAATCTTCTCCCAATCCTTTAAACAACAAATCAATTGGCCAGGTACTACAATTCCTATTCCAGGATTATATCTTAGTTGTTATTTTGCCGATGGTTTACTTCAATCTACTTTTCAATGTTTCTATGATATCAATTGTTTAGAATCTTTACAATTCTATACATCATCTATGGCTCCTATTCAGACATGGGTACTGCCAATGCCATCGAAAACTTCTCTTTATCAAATCAATTCAACAGTACAAGATTTGGTTAATGTTTTGTTCGTTGAAGAATGGTTTAGTCATATAAGTTATGAATTATATTATCAACAATGTCAACCAAAACAATGTTATTATACATTTATTCGAAGATCTACAATAAATTACATTATTATAATGGTAATCACTGTTTTGGGTGGTTTACATAAAGTATTACCGGTAATAATACCCGTATTAATTCGAATTTCTCACAAAATAATAATCAAATTCAAAAAGCGAAGATTTCGTCGACAACCAAGAAAAATCAATCGAATTAATCCAAGAATTCCATCATTCATTACATAAATGTGTCATATAATTACATATGCGCTTTTATCGATATTCTTTTGCTTTGATGTGTGCTGAACTTTCTTTTTAGTCACTTTTTTCTCATATATAACATATATTTATCAAGAAAGGATAAAAATTATGAAACTGATGATTTCGTTTTATTTTAAAGAAGTTTTTACACTTTGTCAATACCTTTGCTTTTATGATAATGGTTATAACGATGACGAAGACCATTTAAACAGATCATTTATCTTAAGTCAAAATCAGTTCTCTATTCTTTCATTTTCAATTTCAACTTATTGTTTCGTTTTTCTTCGGAATTTAATTTCACCAAATAAAATAAATCATTCTTAAATATCATGCTTTTCTGTTATTATAATTCTTAATAATGTTATCATACTTACATGAGAAATATTGTTAAAATCGAATTATCCATCCAGTCAATTAAACACAAAAGTCCTTTCATTATCTCATCATACGTATTATCGACTTTTCTATTTAAAGCAATGAATTCAGCGATAGGAAATTACAATGAATAAAAAGTTTCCAACGTTGAAGATTTATTTTCTTCATTCCTTTTTTCTCTCTTCCCATTTGGCATCTTAAACATGTTTTTGTTCTCACCCGTTCTTTCTCTCCGCATCAAATGTTTACGCGAGCGATGGCCTCTACTACGTAGAGCTAAGACTTTTGCAGATGCATTCAACAGACTGGCTAATGATGCATCAATATCAGTAGCTATTGATCAGTAGTTCAATGAATTTAATCATTAGTTCGTTTTATACGTTCAACTAAATAACTCTCAGAAATGGGTATAGATGTCATCCGCAAAGCTCGATACGTTGAAGCAGCACATCTTTTTTCTTTATTCATTGACAATATGGAAGAATAAAATCGACCTCTCTATACCATTTCTAATTTATTCGTATCGTTTTCCAGTGCTATGATATTTTTTATAGTTTAGTTACCATTGGTGAACTCGCTTATTTTACAAATGCCAGTACAAGCACTCTTAGTCACTCCTATTTAATCACAGCCATCATCAGTCAGTATTTCTTTCCTGTTTTCTATCAACTTAAATCTCTGCGAACATTTCGTGTTTATTGGATTATTATAGCTCTCACCTGTACCATTAGTTTCCTAACTTTACTACCATCATATTTCATAGGTGACTATATTTCTGTTTGACACCAAAATTGGAATCATTGATGATTCTAGACACAAATCAATATTTCGATGAAACACATACATATGTGGTATACGTTTCAATATCTATAAGATGAATGTCGAATGCTTTTGTATGTGTGACATATGTCATACCTTACAGTGAGATCGCTTTGATATATTTCTATATTATTCGATGAACGCAGTAAACTAATGTTGCCATTGTTAGTACCACCGGTTCATTGTTAACTGTACCCAGAAACTCTACAAGTATTATTTATTTTCAATAACAACAAAAGCGTGAGAAACATTGTATATAATCGTGTACGAGAACAAGACGGTGAACGAAATTTCTAGTGTGATTTAGAACACAAGTGTAATTACAATTTTTCTTTTGATTACGCAGTCATCGGATTCTCCTTCTTGCCTTCTCGTATCGACCTTTATATCGTATATTTCTTGCCTTCACTCTCAACTGCTAGTATATTAACGTCGTGATGTTTTTTTGCTTTCACAATATTCCTTTTCTATTTGCAAGTTGTTTAAATTCATCAACAGTGTCGTTTTTTCTGTTTCAAAACGTGCTCTTGTTCTCTTTCTTCCTTTTTGTATGTGTTGAAAGAAGAAAATTCCAACATAGATTATTACTTCTAAATAACAATTGTCGCATCGAACAATATAAAGAGAAGCGTTTTTCGAATTTCCACATTATAAATGTCTCATCCATCCAAAAAAAGTGATTGCTTCATATGCCAATATCCATTGAAATCTGACGAAACTAAAATTACCACCGAATGTGGTCACAGCTATCACCGTCGTTGCGCTCAAAAATACTATGACGAGAAAGGTCATAGTGCCTGTATGGTGTGTAAGAAGTCGTCAGCTTTAGCCAAGGCGCTTCAAGGACATGTCACTGCAAGTACTGCTACATCTTCAGCCCGACGTTCTGGTAAACCAATGGATCATGTATGTTTATTCGTTTTGACTTGATTGAGAATAGAATTGTAACGAATGAAGAATTCCATCTTCAAAACTGAGAAAAACGACCTCATATAAATTTTTCCCTTTATCTCACATTTACAGGAGGAAGAAGCAATATGGTCTTGTGAGTATTGCACATTAGAGAATCCGTCATCGGCTGAAAGATGTGAAGCTTGTGGTGCACCACGGCATGTTGTATCTGCAGCTCGTCGTCGGAGAACAACAGCACATCCGAATGTTGATGTGAACGATCGAGATTCACAGTCGGATGAAGAGAAGAATGAATATGATCGAGGTCGTGGGGAAAACTGTGCTCCTAAAACAGATCCTGATTCACGTTCTACATCTGACAGAAAAGAAAAGCCTACGTCAACGGCATCTGGATCTGACGCTATCGTGTACATCCCAGATCTTCCTACGACTACTGATGATAACGATCAATTGGAACAACTGATTCGTCATCGTATTGAAAAAGTGACAAAATTGAAAGTTGGCATGATCAAATGTTATTCAAAACTAGGTGTTGCTATGATATACGTTGACACAGATGAAACAAGAGATCAACTTGTTAACGATATCGTACATATAACTTTAGATCCAGGGGTGGGAAAAGCTACAATTACATTTACTGAAGAACTTGAAATAGTGTCATATGTTGTCGCAGAAGTCGCCAATGAAAAGAAGGATATTTTGTTACCAACATCAGAGGAAATTCGTCGTCATTGGAGGAAACTATACAAAGGAGAAACGCCATGCTCATGTGAACAGTTGCATATGGAATTTCCGAATATATACAAGGTTACTTCCAGGTCTTTGGATGAATTACTTAAGGTGGCGAATCATCCAGATTTCAAAATTAATGATATATTCGCTCAAGTCTACGTACGTGCTAATTGTAGTTTCTTCGAACATCTAACTGAATCGATCACAGAGGATCAACTGCGTAAAGCGGTGTGCAAAGAAATTAAAATGCCGAACGTATCATCTACAACAGTTTGTGTTCAGTTGAACAAACAAACACACAACGCTTGTGTCATCACGACGAGTGAAGCACGCGCTTGGTCTACAATCAACTATCTAACGATTAACGGCACGGTATTTCCGAAGAAAGTTAATTTAATCCGTCGCCTGTGTATTTATCCAATCCCTTCATCGTTTAATACTCAAAAGATTTTGAATCACAAAGAATTCAAGGGAAAAGTACTCGATCATAAACAGCAGGGAAACACTCTCATTCTCGAACTATCCGATGAAGCACTTTTTACCGAATGCGTCGCGCTTGGAGTTATTCGTATTGGCGATAGCGACCGTTTTCAAATAGGTGCCTATGTTGCATCGAGCAAAACAGCTAGCGATGAAATTGACGAAGACACGTGGTATAAGACAGAAATGCCTCAATATAAACCTAACATAATGCAATTCATTTCTGATCCCGATCATCAGATTTTCCGATACAAATGGAACCCACAGATATGGTTGAAACAATTTAATCAAACCATTGGTGAAAAGAATGATGAGAGACAAGCACGTGATCGAAGGCATACACCAAGCGATGTTACACGTCATCGATTACGGGTTACAGCAATGTTAAATACACTTGCAGTTGTGCGAAAGAAGAGCTACATGATACGTGATCGAAAGTTTCAATTAAATGTCGATAAAAGCATGAAAACGATTGTTTATGATGAACAATCAATGTTGGAGAAAGGAGGGAAATTACCGATAACAAAACCACCTTATCCCGAGACGCGTATTGATGTGGTCAACGAAGACTGTCTGATAGCTTATGAGCGTTTGGTTAAGGAACACTACAGACCACTTCTCCTTAATATGGCCAATGCTTCAAAACCCGGTGGTGGGTATCGAAAAGGTGATGGCGCACAGGAAGAAAATCTCTTCCGTCGATCCGACTACTTTCGAAGCCTTGACGTTGGCCTCGACCAATGGTTATCAGAACGAAGTGCCCGTTATCATTGCTCGTCGACTTGCCAACTTGACCGACTGTCCGACGAAGACAAGATGTATCCAATGCACGAGTACGGAGCGATCTACACCTCAGGCTTGACCGTCTTTCGTCAACCAGAAAACACTGGCTATAGTTTTATGGAAGAACCACTTAAAAACGTGTGTTCTTTAGCTATGGCTGCTTATTCAGGCCCGAGACTAAATGGAAATATGCTTGCGTCAAAGTTTGCTGTGGGAACACGAAAAAAGATTGAAAATATCTTCGCTATTGCTTTTCGGCACAAACACGATAGTTTAGTATTATCGGCTCTAGGCTGTGGTGCTTTCAAAAATCCACCAGGCCATGTGGCAGAACTTTTCCGTTCGGTCATCGAGCAGTATGCCGGTTTCTTCCGACGAATTACTTTTGCTATTCTGGATGATCACAATAGTGGTCGATTCTTCAATCCGGAGGGTAATTTTCAACCATTTGTAGCTCTTCTCGATGGAGTGGTCATCACTCCATTGTCACCAATGAGCACGCCACTGACTATATTTGGACCGTATCGATTATTATCCGATGGAGTGACTACAAGCGATGTGTGTATCTGCAATAAACTACTGTGCAAATTTGGTGCTACCTGTTTTGAACTTTCTGATCGTACACATGCGAAAGAATACTTTCATCCACCTCGTTGTCCATATGTAGCTACGAAAGGTAAATGCCCCTTGACCGACAATGTTGTTCATATGCATTCATTCGTACATCGAGCTCACTGTCGATACGGTGGAGAGTGCCGAGAAATCGATGATGAGAAGCATGCTCGCGAATTTGAACACCCTTCCAGCTGTCCAGATGGAGGCAAATGCGGTAGTACAAGTGATGAACATTTAAAACAATATCGACATTTACCATTATGTGAAGACGGTTTACAATGTCTCAAATTTAAGAGGCATGATCAAGCTCACTGTGACACATGTCGTCACTGTGTCTTGAATTGTCCCTTTGGAAGTCATTGTACTTATATTCACAGTAAACAGCATCGAGACAAGTATGCACATCCAGTACCTCCACCATGTCAATTCACTCCATTTAGTTGTAAATTATATACTAAATATCTACACTGTGGAGATCGTAAAAACCTCGATGAATATATTCAAAATCATTGTCTCGATTCTGCTCACATCTGCCCATTGGGTCGTAATTGTCAAGATAAGGATGAACTACATTTAGAAAAAACTATCCATATTCCAAGATATATGTGTCCTGATGATGATAAATGCACTAAACTTACCAATGAAGATCATCTTAATACGTATACGCACTCTAAAGTTCCTGATATCCGAGAATTGTGTAAATATGCGGATGGATGCTTTGACCGTCGCAAAGCAGAGCATGTGACAGAATATCGACATGCAGCTAGATTTGAACATAGTGGTATTTTAAGTTATTTTAATATGAATAACGGAATTAATTTTGTGGAAAATCAAAAAAATATGATTGAACGTATCATTCAATATGTAAAAGATCAAAAGTGGATTCCATTACCATCGTGGACTGTGCCGGATGATATTCTCAATTGGATACGCACTGTTCAACCAGTTCACCGGTGTAATCAAGTTATTTTTGAATCTATTCTTCTTCACGGACACGTAATGAGTCGTGAATATATGTTAAATTTGAAAAAGGCGAACTTTGTTGCTAATTCCGTTCTACAACACAGTCGAATGAGGTGCGTCCGTGAGCTACAAGAAAAAGTAGTTGCTGAACACGCCAAAATGTATGTTACTGCTTTAGTTCAACGTTATTTTGCATCAAAAGGGTTCATAGGTGGGAAGATCCCTGATGCTACTGCTGGGCCTCCCGTTCCATCAGCGGATATTCAGGATGAACTGACATCGTTGGAACGTGATATTGCGAAACAGGAAACATTTTTATCGAATGCACTAAGTAGAAAAGATTTGGAAGCGATACGTATTAAGTCGGATGAGATTGCTGAAGCATCAATCAATCTTCATACAAACCGTGCAGGTATTGGCTACAGTTCGGATAAACACCTTGGTACCGACAAAACAGTTTTCAGTATTATGGGACCACACCTAGGACACTATTATGGCGATATATTTGTTGTGTTTAAACGTGATATTCTTCATCATCCCGATGCAAACTTCACCGTTCAAGCAGCGACATCTATTGTAAGCGGAAGTGCTTTTGACTTACGACCATGGCTAGGGACTCATCCGGTTACGATCGAGGAACAAATTGAATTCTTTAATAAATGTAAATTGAACTGTTCCATTCCGGGCTATGAACATGCAGCTGCACTTGAGTTAATCGCATTCACAAGTCAGCATTTTGGATTAAAGTCAATGAACATCACCCTCGATAAAATTCTTGAACGATGGTTCGAAGTTGATTCACATTTAACAATCGAAGGACATTTGCCACAACTAATTCCTCTCAGTTATATCGAACATATCTATATTCCACAGAATCTTTACAGTTCACTTAGTGTGACCTCACAAAAGACAATGCGTGCGACTTTTAAAAACTCTTTTACCCTAGTTCCACATGATGGTGTACCCATTCAACCACAAAAGCCACATGGTCCAAAACCGCCTACACAACCTCGTGAAGAATTACAAAATTTCGTTGTTGAAAAGTTACTTAAGAGATTCATCGAACGTGCTCAAAATCCATCATGGACAACTGTTCGAGGCGCTGCGATTACAATGCCATTCACTGATTTTACTGATACTTATCTCTTGCCTCTAACAATTTCGCAAGCATATCAACAATACTTTAATGCTAATCATCATCGGCCAAAAGATGAAGTGTATTATGTTTACTGGCAAGTCGTCGGTGGAGATATGATTTTAACATTGTCCAATGAATCAGTTTTGTCGAAAGAGACCAAGTCGAATCTTCGCTGCTTAAGTTGTTATATCGCGGGAAAAGGTCCATCAAGTGACATAACTTATCATGAACACTTTTCATATATTAACGATAGTTCTCCATTTCAACATCCTGTTCTGAGAGAACGCGGTAGATTCGCAGCAAAATCTAATCAGTTTTTTGTCGGTTGTAACACTGATTATCTAGTGACGTTTTGTCTTGAAGTTCAATTGGCGGATGGAACGGTTACACTTTCACATGCTGGTCCGAATTCTATTTATAATCACGAAAAGATTTCCTTTCAATTCGATCAATCTCGATTGGCTCTAGAAGACTTGGAATATATCCATATAAGTTGTGGCTCTCGCGTAGTTCCAGTTCGAAATCTGATTGTTAGTTTTGAAAAACAACCTCATTTGCATCCGACGTTCGACAAAGATTTCGCTAGGGTTCCTTCGGCAAGCTCAAAGGAACCGACTCAATTCAATATTGTACCACAAAAACGAAACAAAACACCCGAGTTAATTCCTTGTCATGATAATGTCAACTGTCTTCTTCAACACTCTAGACGTCGCGGACCAGCTCACAATGCAGTATATTCTCATCCGTGTTCGTTTTCCGAGCTTTGCGTTGCGAAAGAAGCACACTTGACACACGAGCCTCGTAATTCACCAATATGCAATCACGACAAGAAGTGCAAACAAATCAACGACCCATTTCATCGAGCGGAATGCCGTCATACCAATCTACCCGACTTCCTTATTCCATGTCGTTATCAAACTACCTGTTATGATGACTCATTCGAACATCGGATCGAATTTTCGCATGGCGAACAAGTTTATAAGAAGTCTGGTTCTTCTTCTTCAGCGTCGAAAGAACGTAGAGATCATGATGACGCGCTAATACCATGTAGATATGGATCAAAATGTAAGGGTATTAACAGTTCTAAGCATTGTCGAGAGTATTCTCATCCCAAGAGCGATAAATAATCCGTGGAAATGACTATATTTTCAATAAATAAGAGACTAATAGTTGATACATGCAAACGACTTATTTGGGTGCGATCGGTGTAACTTGATTAGTTCGAAAGAATAGACATTTTTTGAGAACATCTCGAATATCTCGATCGATAAGTAATGAAACAAGTTTCTCAACCATAACTGTAAATGAAACACTTACAATTCCGATCGAATAAAAGAGTTCCACGTTTGTTAACATATAGAATAACGAAGGTACTGCTCCGAGTACGTAAATACTAAGCAAAATCATTATCTTGCGAAAGACTGTCAAATCGAGATTCTTTCGTTTTCTTTGATCTAGTACAATTGAGTTCTTATTAGCATGTGAATGTACTCGTTTGTAAATCAAAATGTAAATCACAATAATTAATACGATCGGTAGTAAATAATACATTATAATCGTGTAAATAACGTGTAACATAAATCGCTTTGGTACCCAACAAAGAAAACCTTGACGGTAATAAATATCTTTGGTCATAATTGCTGGTAATGGGACAAGAAATACAATGATCCAGCCAATGAAAATCAAATAGAAATGCACTCTGAACGAAACTATCCAGCGATATTTAATGGAAAGAATGGTAAAGAACAATCTCGATATGGCTTGTAAAAGGTATGAATAAATAACAGCAACGATAGATGTGTATCCAAAATAACCCCGCCACCGGCAAGATTCATCACTTATGTTCCATTTAACGAATAGCAGATAAATATAATTATTACATTGAACAATACAGTACAAGATTGATGCTATACACGTGTTACAGGTTAACAAGTGACTGACTGTATGCAGTTGTTTGGTTGAAATAACTAATATTAATATCAAAATAGAGAGAACTATAGCAACGAGTGCAAATACCATTGAGATTGGTGCAACAGTATCATAATTTGTAGAACTGCTTGAAAAATTTGTCCCTGTTCCTGTGAGAGAAGTCATTTTTCACTGAAATCGAACTATGAAGCCGAAGAAGTCAAGATAAGTAGGTCATTCAACCAGATCATGACATAGAAATGGCGCAGTTGTAATTTTATTCTTTTGAAAAAAAGTTACATTTCCTTCTATTGGAGAGCAGCGTGAATGTAAGTTAGATGATAATAACACGTTCACATATTACTCATAAAAAGTCACGTAATTGTTTTATGATGTGGAAGATGCATTGAAGTGCACGCGCAATTTGGTACTAGCAAGGTCAAATAAATATCCTCGAATATTATTCGTATTTTTTTAATTTCAAACGATTGAGAGTAGTCTGTCATCTCGTTTCATTGAGTCAAAACTTGAGTAAATCATTGGGTGGAAGAGTATGGGCGTGTGTACCATTTTGATTTCCATCATCATAAACCTGTATTTGCGTTTGATTCATGATATATGCTGCTTTCAAAGTTTTCTTTCGTACCCAACATAGGAGAGGAATATATGAAATAAACGATCGTTTTTAATGGCGAACGTTACTCGTGAGGAGAAGACAAAAATAACTCTTACATACACACCACCGTTTCTTTTCCTGTTTATTTTTATGCCAAAGTAATGACCTTTCGTTCTTATAAAAGTACATTACGAGAGTAAATAGACTAGCTGGTAGTGAGGAATATATAAAGCTGCCTATTTTTCTGGCTTTTATTCATTCGTAATCGATACAGCGACTCAAACGATGAATCTGAACGATAGCGAGGAATCTTACAACAAAGTTTATGCTGGTGAACATCATCACAAAAAACACTGGACACATGAATTAGTCGCTGCAGCTGCTGGTTTCGCTGGTAAACTTTCTCTCTTTCGATTTTAATTTTTTAAATTATTTTATGTTTAGCAATGAAAGAGTATGAAGATTACTGCCGAAATAATGGTGAGACAATCTCGCATGGTAAAATGAAAGAATTGCTTGCTGCTTTTGCGGCTGCGGAAGTCGACAAATTAGTCGAGACGAAAGGTCTCGACTTTCTTGATCAAGAAAAACTGAAACACCTCGCTGCTCATCAGGCACACGCGTTAGCAAATGAAAAATATGGAGAAGGTCAGGTAGGACCCGGCAGTGGGCAAAATGATTATTAGAACTGAATATTCGAACGAAGAGAATTACTTTATTTTATTCAATAAATCTGTATTAAAATCGAATCTTTTCTATCATCTTTCTCTCAAAAATGCGATTCACTGTGATATTTCATAAAGCTGTCAATATTTTCAAGTTGGTGCAGTTAAAAGTGCCAATGATGGTGTCGTGATCCATGTGGACGGTGTCGTCGCTTTGTAGTTGTCACAATTTTCTTTGTAGTTGTTGAGATGGTTACCGCTTTCGTCGTATTCATTGTAGCCACCTTTGCTGTAGTTGTTGTGGTTGTAAATCGGGCTGTTGTCGTCGTCACCGCTTTCGTTGCAGTTGCAGTAGTTGTCGTACCTGCAGTTGTTGCTGTCGCTGTTCCAAGAAATAGAGATGAATCAACCGTCGGCGTCCAGTTGTATGAAGCTGATTTTGCAAAACCCACACGATTGTTGTTGATATCAAAGATCGCGTAGTACCAATACAGAAAATAGTCGCCCAAGATCCAGAAATCGTTATTATCTGCATCTTCGGAGTCCAGTGCTGCAAACACACTGTAACATACGTATTTACTTGAGCTCTCTTGGTATATTATCAGGTAGTGTAGTGGTGTTAGAACGAAGTCCGTACCACCCATTGTAAACACCACATTGGGAAATGACGAGAGTGTTCGTGTCGAACAACTGACTGTGTACTGAAATATGTAATTACACTCATTCACTTCAACTATTCACTAAACAACATAAAACACTCCTACCATTCCACTAGCTGAGTCATAAGTACCACCCAGAGCTACGTTCAATGCTTTGATTTGTTTCGTCGGTCCAGTGATCAATGTTGTGCCTGTGTCAGCTATGGCATACGACGATGTGCTGATCACACTCGATCCAACTGTCACTCTATTCGAAACAAACGCATCCAATAGTCGAAACTCTCCATGAGAATGTTACTTTGTCATTTGAAATTCCCAGTATCCTTCGAGTGCCACCGGAATGTATGTGATTGAATCAGAATATTTTGTTGAATCAACGCCTCCAAAGATGAGTTCGCCACCAGTTGTAGCATTTGTGTCACTAGAACGGAATGTGTCCATGTGAGAGTGAGGGTATGAAATACATACGGATTGAGATAGAAGGAAAAGATCGGTTCGGCAATGAGACCTTGAGACCACATGTTGAAGAACACTGGTTTTTCACCACCTGTTGTCAAACTCTGATAAGCGAGTCCGAGGATGCCATCATTCACATCATTTTCCATGCCTGACAATGACGTGCATTCAGCGAATGTTTGATTTCGAACTGCAATACCATTGACCTATAGACACGAGGATAGCTGATCCATCGTGAAACTAACATCAACACGTACTGTCACAGTGTCGATACTGAAGATTCCACTCGCTCCAGACTGATCGCCGTATGTGATGGAAAACTTTTTTCCATTAGCAATATATGTTGATGATGCTGATGATGTGTATTTGTTGAACTGACCTACAACATCAACCAAACAACAACTATACGCAGATCAGACGGATATATCGATACAACATACTACAGGCAGACGAACACTTGCTTGATGGCACCCAGAGATCGGACGAGCCTGTGTCGAAATTGATGAGAAAAGGTTGACTTGGTGTACCGATGTAGATGGTTCCATAGAAGTATGCCTACACGAGAGATGTGTTGATAAGCGCGAAGCATAAAAAAGAATAAGAAGTTACATCAGCTTCGTTGACAAGACTTTCGAAAGCTGAAGACTTGACAACAGCAACTTTGCCGAAGGTTGGTGATATCCTGTTGCATACTGTGACGTTGTTTTGGAAAACAGTACAGTTTTGAGTTGATGTAGAGCGTGATTGTACACGAGTGATGGGAATTCTGAGAAGAATAGAAAGGAATGAATAGAAATATGTTTCCTAACGAAGAACTCACTTTAATAGTTGACTAGCACCAATTTCATGGTGAATAACCAAGAAAATGACAATTCTAAATAACATTTTATTGCCTTTAGATCCTTTTTTATTTGGCTGTTTCTGATCTTCAATGATATACCACTAAGAAGAAAAATATACTTTTTTTATATATGAAAACATGACTAATCAAACATAGATGTTTGCTGTCTTGGGCGTTGACTAAAAGGAAATCATCCATGACATATTGTATATTTACTGGTTCTGTCAATGCACTTTTTCAGGTGAACTTCGATGTAATTTTTCTGTACTATTTGTAGAAGAATGCGTCATTTTCATGTAAATTTGTTTATTCACATGGTTGGTGGTGAGTCATCGTGAATCGGTGTATGTCGTGAAAAAAATAGAGAGAAAGAGCACTTTGTGATGAATCTAAATTTGCTTAGTAGAAATGAAAAGAAAAATACGGACATGTTGTTTATCTTGTGAAGAGAATAAAATGAAATAGGTAGTGTCTTTCTTCATAGAAGTACTTATATTATCGAAAGTAACACTTTTCTTTCAGACAGAAAATATCGAATTAGCCATAAGGGTCAAGAACGATTTGTTTCAGATCCTAAAGTCCATATTAATTAACTGTTGCTGAACTTTATTCCGCTAGGACTATCGTGAAAAGAGTATATGTCGCTGACTGTTGAATAAGTGTCTTGAATAGTGATAAATTACCTATTGAGAACGACAAAGTCAATCAAAAGATAATTTTTAGTTAAATATCATAGATTTCTTACATTATACATGGAAGTAAACAAGAGTGATGTTGCATCTAATTCGAATGTTCTTCCGTCATAGAATAACTCGATTCTGCTCGAGATCCTTCATTAAACAACTATTATTAGGTAAGCATATCTCTTGCTTTTATACTTTGTGTAGTTTCTTTAGTTTGGATTTCGTATGAACCAACAACTTTTGTTGACGTTAAATGTTCATAAAGCTGATTTACATAGTTTTTATAATTTCTCTCATTTATTTCTTAGCACAAAAAAAATACTTATATATTCTGTCGCAACTTCCCCAGTCCATGAATCCACATGGAACCACTGTAGCATAGGAACCTGTCCGCACAATGTAGTCCGGTGGGCATGATCCTCTACCAGGATAATAACCATCACAGGTAATTTCCGAGACAATCGACCAATAAGAACTGGAAATCTTCCAATCTGTGTATTCCATCACTTGCATGCCACATATTGTGCCAGATAAATCATCGGTACTTGCGTTAGTTTTATAACAGAATGTTGCCGGCGTCTGCTGATGACGTTGATAACCGACGGGGCATGCATCTGAATAGGGATTACGACCATTGCATAAAACTGTTAAATTTCCTGCTCGGTAACCACAAACAGTACCAACAAGACTTGGTTGTCGATCAGTTGCAACCTTACTGCAATGGTACCATTGATTAACTTGCCAGCCTGCAGGACAACCAGAATTCAGACCTGCATCACCACAGGCAAGACTTGTATTGGTGCCGCACAGTGTGCCACTAAGAACTAACGGTTTCGGTTTTTCTTCGACTTTCTTTGAACAGTCAAGACCTGACCATCCGTTCTGACACTGGCATTCACCGAATTGAAAGTAACCCGTGTCTTGACAGTTGCCATGGCTGGAACAGTTGTTTCCGTAGCAGTATATAGGTGTATCGATGTAATTATTCACTGCTTGTTCGATCATCTTCGCTTTGACACCAATATTTGCATCATTTGGAAAACGACCTTCTGCTTGTGTGAGAATATCGAAGATGTATTTAATTGTAAATTTGATAATCACCGGATTACTCTGCACAGTCTTCGCCCAATCTTCTATTTTACTAATGGATGGATCGCCGCCTACCATTGTCGTGTAACTCTTTGAAACAGAATTCATGAACATTGCATGTGTGACATTGTCTTGGTTTCCGCTCGGTTTCAAACCGAAAGAAACAGCGAATTGCAGATCTGCTTCGTGACTCTTTTTAATTCCTTTCTCTTCCAGAGCACTTGCGTTTGACGAATGGATGATTATGCTTTGCTGCGCGATTCCACCTAACACAAGTGTAGTAACATACGAATAGCCAAAATAACCAAAGATGTAATCATAAATATACTTCTCCACTATTTCATTGTAATCACAGCAAGGCAAATTTTCGATAACATATCGAAAATCATCAGATAGATTCATCCGAGGTTCAAACATTGATAGTTTCGCATGTGATATTTTCAGTGTTGTATAGAGAACTTCGGAATTTTCTTGATAGATTTGGTCGACAATAAATCGCGTTTCTTTCGAGTATTTATAACTAGCTGAGTACCATTGATATTTAGCACCACCACTGATTTCAAATCCATTTTCTGTTACTTGTTTGAGACGATCGAGCTTATCAATCACTTGTGTATCGGTGGTTCGTTCACTTCCCGGCAAACATTGCATCGTGACACCTTCGGGAATCAGTTTAGAAGTACAACCACCTGCTGGACTCTGAACATAATTGAGCTTGAATATTGGACTGCGGAAACCATCGACTTGACAACTTGCAGTGTAGCACACCGGACTACCATGCAATGGATCGTAACCAATACCAATATTGTTACTATTTTCCAGTGTTTCCATACGTGCTGATGCTAGCGGACGATGAGTTTTCAAATATTCGCCAACACGTAGATAAGCTTCAAGATATTTGTTGGTGAAAAAGTCCTCCATAGAGGTCGCAAGTGAAATCAGCTGAATGAATATGATAATCTTCATTTTCTCCTGATATATTTGAAACGTAGAATGCAACATAACCAGTAAAATCGTTATTCATTTTGAATAATATCTGATATTTTAGCAGATGTGAAGCTTCTCATATGAATAACTATGAAGAATATTTTCTTTTGTAAAGTGAAAGTTTATCTCGCGATATTCTTCGCTCTCAAGGTCGGTTGAAGGTATAATCATGATAATATTTTTGTCCGATTTAGTTGTTTGTTTGTTTTCCTTTCTTCATTCTTTATACTAAGCAGATAAACCGCGTAATCAAAATACTTTTTCTCTTCCTTTCTTTCTTCATATTTTTCGTTACACACCATCGCTTTCCCCGTGCTTCTCTTGTAGTAGAGTACTAACATTCATTTTTATCTCCACATCAACATGGATTGTTGTTCACAAGGCAGTAAGTGCGAAGTTTCAACTGAAATTCTCATTTCGTTTGTCTTCTGAAGATTTTCAACCATCGTATGATCCATTACCTGATAATATCGAGTTCTTTTTCGCTGGCGGTGTTCCTGCACCGACAAGTGGAATTTACCAGCTGACAGAAGCTCCACCCGGCGGTTTATCAAGTTTAGGACCACGAGTGGATCCACAAATATTGAACGTTGGGAATCCGAAACCAAAGGCGAACTCATCTCCAAACTAACTTTTCTTTCAAATAAATTCATTAATTGAAAAATAAATTTTATTCGGGTAATTTATGTATTGTTCGGACATCATTTGACAAGATTAATGTTTCTAAAAGACTTTTAATTCGTTGCAACTCACGATCTTTCGAACTTGCAGCATAGGAAGCGATAGGAATTGCATTCCCATAATTTTCTCGGTACGTTGAAGGAGAATCATCGAGTATCAACGTATTGCGTCGGTTATAACTGTTTGTTTTCCTTCTCCATAGTTTTCGTAATTTTTTTATTGTGAACGGTACTCCATACACATCCAATGATCGTTGGTGATATCTTCTTGTGCATCTTGATGATGTCCAAATAAACTTTAATTTTGATCGTAAGTGTTCTGGGAAAATGTGATCTACGACAGCATGAACATACTCAGAACCTGATGCTGACCATACACCAACATCATACTGCTCTAGACACCATTCGAGAAATTCATCAATATCCGGCCGTTTCCACACTAAAATCGATCCTTCTTCTAATTCGAAATGATGATTTTGCTCGATTTCCATATGTGTGACTTGTGATTTGTCTTCCGCGAAGACCAACGTGCCATCAATATCCAATACAAGTAACTTTCTTGGATGCAATGTCATGGCTGTCGTTTCTCGTATTAGTCATTCATATTTATACTATTGACATTGCATCACCTTCGAAGGATGTGAGTTTATTGACTCAAAAAGATGCAATTACAATGAAGAACATATTTCAGAATTTGTGAAAATTCTATACGCTCGATCTATATGAACAGAAGATATGATAGTAACCTTTTCGTTCTGTCAGTGATTCTCGCTATATCTTACGAACGAGAGAAAAGAAAAGAAAAAGATCATGATCACGTGTTACTACCAGTTGGAAGTCAATGTATAAATGAAGCGTGATGATTGTTGACGAGGACATGTGTTTTATCTGATAGATACAAGTATTGATCTACATAATATGGAACAATAATCAAGTATAAATCTTTTTTCAGATTTCCATTATTTTAATTCCATAATGCATTTTAATAGAAGCCTATTGGAAACGCTATTTGTCAAGAATGAAGACATGAGTGGAGGTAAAGAGCTTTTAAATGGACGTAGATTTGGACATGCCAAGTAAATTTGTTCACGAATATCTGCTGTTGCTACATCCAGCCGAAGATATTGAAGAGCAGGTGATCCATTCCAATTCTATTTCCATTTTAATACTCCAACTTGTGTTGCGGTACATATTCGAAGTCGAGGAAATCCATTAGATAAAATACTATCAAATAAATCATTGGTCGTTTCTGTTTTATCAACGACAGAAGGATCATCCACTTGAAAATAAAAGAAATAAAAAATCTTATATGTCTATAAGATTATTTCGTGACTTATTATCATCGATATGCAGAATTTCCAATCGAGGAAAATATTTTGGGCGAATGTCATCTAATTGTTTGAATGTACCTCGTTCAATTGTAAGTGATCGTAAATTAATTAATGACGTAAAATCAAGAGATTTAGCATGTGTAACGATCAATCGAGTGATTTGAGTTGGAAAAAAATGTAAAATATCAACAGCTTCATTATCATCATTGTCTATTGTATGTATGGCACATTTTATAGATCGAATAATCGAATTTATATGAGTATTGAGATCAAAGAAAGACGTTTTAATTTCTTTAAGTGATAATAAATCAAAAATTTCGAAAAAAATATGAACTGGTAAATGTTCGAATAATGTTACAAGTTCGTTGTTGTTATTCATGTTGGAAAAAATTACAATATTCACTTGCTTTTCTATGCCCCCCTCTCTCTCTTGAGAAGCAAACCTATATATATTTCGATAAAAGGAAAAAAGCGACAGAATTCTAACTATGGGGATATTCCATCTATGAATATGTTAAATGTAATGTACAGAGAAAGGAAGAATACATAGAAAAATAACATATATCCTAACAGAGAACATGATGAAAATAAATGTTTTGTTTTCTCCTTTTCTCTTTTGTAAAATGTATTGACATACAAGGAATGGATGAATAAGAAAATGTGAGTATAAATGCACATATATTTCTCTGATAATTTCATTGAATTTTTTTCCTTTAGTCATTTTTGCTTCCATTACGTAAATATAATTCATATCGAAAAGTGCGTCACCATGAACGACTGTTCGTTTTTTTTCTCGTGTTCTACGTCGTCTTGAATAAATATATTGATTTTGATTAATACCCTTTAATTTAATGGAGAGAAGAATCGATCTTTATTCTAAAGTAAGATGATATACCGTTATCTCGATACTGGGTAATGATATATGGTTAATCGCTCAACAACAAACACCTATATTGAAATACCTTCTTAAAAACTCTTTCATAACTGTGACATACCCGTCAAATTTCCATATACCTTTGAAGAGTTTTTCTGCAAAAAGAAACAGTACAAGAATAGATCATTTGACAGGTTCTTTTTCAGTGTATCAATGCAGAGAAATCCAAGTAAGAATTGAACAAATTCTAAATAGAATCCCGCATTAAGCCAGGTAGAATATTTGAGATTTATATTTGTAGAAGATCCTTCAAGGTTATTCCAAGGAATCGACACGACTGAGTACAGTGAAAAGTAACCAGTAGATTCCTTGATAGATCATTATATTTTCTTATCAAGATACTGATTAATTTTGATATTGTCTTGTAAAGTCTCAAAGTGCATATTACTGAAAAGTTCGGAACAAAATCCTGTTTGAAGCTCTGCACGATCGTCCAGTTTTGTATTCTTAACGATCGTGTAGTTTCCTTGACAAGATCCTCGTCTGATATGGCTATGACTGCTGATACGAAGATTTGACCTACATTTTGACGGGAACCTGATTAAATCTTAGCAGGATCCGGAAAGGCCCTTCCAGGATTGAGACTAGGGTACCTGTATCAGCTCTGTTATGCGACATTTGTTTCATTTTAGATGCGTTTGAAACTTCACTGCGTGCGAACACGCACGTAACCTACTATGAGTCAAGGCAAACAATAAACAAAATTTCAATCGTGCGCGATCTAGTTGCGTTACTGGTGTGACGGACGCCGACATACTGTAGTTAATACGATAAATATAGAGAAATCTTTTGCTTTGTGAAGACTTCCAGCAAAAAGAAGCAACTTTCCTTTTTTTTCTCTGCGTACTTCTGTCACTCTCCTATTGTTAACTTCTGTTATCTGCGTGACGGTAATGATGACGATGGAAGAAGTAAAATTCTTTTATGCATCACAACGTTGCTGTTTTTATCACAATGTAAATGAAACTCGCTCATGTTTTTTCTTTTCTTGTTTAATACAAGATAAGGGCAGATTTTTCGTTAGTATAAAAGACCTCTTTGTCGTTCGTGATTATCCACAGAAGTAATTACAATGAATCCAAGCTTAACACATCTCTTGCTCTTGATTGTTGCCATATCATTCAGAGGGCTCGTTGCTGCTTTCTTGTTAGGGTTCGCCAACATAGCAATCGGCGAACTGATCATACATAAATACATATTTCATGGACACTGGAAAATATCAAAGGAGACACACATACCGAATGTCACCACTCGAAATCCATTCCTCCTGCTTTACAACCGAATCATGAAGTTTTGCAACTCCATATTCCATCCCTTCTATGTTCAACATTGGTTAGCTCATCACAAACATGTTGTCATCGACACGAAACATATTGGTGAGCATGGAAAATGTTCAGAACATCTCCGACTTAAAACACTACAACAGTATCCCAAGAACACAAAAGCCTTACTGAATTCTTCCATGGGCATGGGCGCAAATATTTCCGGACTCATTTATCAATATGCACTGCTTGTCTTCACCCCTCTGCCATATTGTGGACTTGTATTCTGGTATGACAAACCATGGTCTCTCCTTACTTATCTACTTCCTTCATTATTATTACCTCTTTCCACTATTTATCATAAGTATTTGCATATGTCTGATGTTTCTCGACGAAAAAAAATTCCTTGGTGCTTTCGGTGGTTGTTGTCAGATGCCGGGGATCAAGTCGTTAAAAAGCATTTCATGCATCATTACATGAACAATGATCGTAATTGGAACTTTATTGTATTTGCAGATACGATTACCGATTTGTTCGACAGTACAAACTTGGAGCCAGATGACAGAACGATAGAATATATGAAAAAATTGGGATTAGAAACGGAATAAATCTTAATGCGATTTTTTTTTCTTTTTGATCTTCTTATTCCAAATCAGATTCAAGAAAGGTTAGACCGACTATTCTCTCCAGTTGTAAAAAGTTTTCATAGTCTTGCTATCTTTTATCAATCGAATCTTAATGATAATAAAATGAATTTAATGAAATATTGTACTTAGGAAGGCATTGGTCGATCAATCGTACAAACTCTCAGTGGACATTCAGGTGCTATTGGTACATCAAATACAAAATAACCACCACAATGAGTAACACTAATTGATTGATTCGAAAAACGTTCACATGGCGCACCAGTTCTTGAACTAGGATAGCATATTGTTCCAAGTGTTGTTGAATAAAGTTGAGTTGGATAAACACCATAGAACCAACCAGGACTGCCACTGGTACCACAATAACGAAGATTTTGTTCTGGTACATAATCAACAATAATTGTACCGGCTTGATCAATAAATCTCGTCCAACCAGATGTTTCATTTGTATCACATTTATCTCCAAAACTAGAGCGTATACGACGAGTAAAATCATTAACAAGTTTATGTTTACTACACTGAATTGGTGGAACTAAAAGATAGAAAAAGGAAGAGGAGCATTTGTTTGTCTATGAAATATGTTTTGATACTTTGTTGATATTTTTCAAAACCTAATGCAATAAGCATTTCATTAAATTCATCTTTAACCTCCTACCCTGGTGGTTCAAATCGAATATCATCTGCTCGATTATTACGCATTGATCAACGACGAAGTTGAGAAAGAAAATCTTTGAAAAGATTTGGTAGAAAATCAAGAAATGTATTATAATTTCGATCACGTGGCCAAATACCAAAATCCGATAATTTAGTATTTGGAATATATGTTAATGTTGAATAGGTTGTCCACACAATTTCACCAGCAACATTGATTTTGATAGCTGTATCATCTCGAGTTCCGTTCAATGATGATCCAAAAGGTAATTTCCAACTAAATTCTTTCTCATTACTTGATTGAGATAAATTATGATTAATATTGTAGTGAATAAGTAAGATCTATGAATAGGATTCAAAAAAGAAAATATCTAGATGAAAATTTTACTTACGGAAAGTAACAAAAGCATTTTTTTCTCTAAGAGTGCGGTACTCCAGAAATGATAAGAAAAAAAATCGTAAAAATAATCATTTATATATCGCTCGTTTCACGTCACATGTTTCTCTGTCTCTCTCTCTCAATATGTTTTCGGTTTAATCTGATACTTACGATAACATGACACTGCATATTTATTGTCCTTTGTAGATGGCGTGAATGTGAAAAGGATTACTTTCTCTCAGTTTCTCTTGTATACTACCAACCACAAAAGTCTTGAGAATCGAATTTTTAATCGAAAACATCGAGATTAAAATGAAAATATGTTTTTCTTCGATATAGTCAGATAGCGCAAGTTTAGACGAATAAAATACTCATAAACAGTTAATATGAGGATACAACATGTGAGTATGCCACAAACTTCATCCGCCACATTTGAATCAGCACTATAACCTGGCCAAATGCATAATTCAATATTATGTTGTTCACACCATCAGAAACATAAATAAATCCATATAATGCTTGTATATCGTCAGATAGAACTTCATTCACTGTGTTACAATACGTTTCACCATTTAATCATAATGATCGAATCGATGAAATACATATTCATTCCACTAAATGAAATCGATTAAATTAATGTGAGCTCGTATAGACGAAATTTCCTTTCTTGGAGTCGATTCACCTCGTTTGCACCAAACAATTTGATTTGTATTTCTTAGACCAATATAACATTCATCTTCAAAAATGTAATTTTTCCCTCGACTGAAAGGAGGGTCATGTCGAAAAAAGTGGTCAAAAAACGGAAATTCGTTTGTGTGTGTGTCTGTCGCAGGTCAAAGGTCAAAAAAACATTTTTTCCAAAAACGCTCAAAACTTCATAAAACATGGTTTGGGAGGGTGGTTGATGGTGGATGTTCGTTGGAGAAAGCATCGAGATTAACTGTGATAGCGAAGGCCGTCGGAGTGCTCGAAGAGAACTATCCACACGTGGTATACATTTATGGGTGTTGCAGTGGCTACAGGGAATCGATGTAGTCAATCCGTAGCGATGCAGGCTTTGAAAAGATTGAAATCAACCTCGATGGTGGATCAGAGTGAAAGGAAGGGTGAATGAGAAGATATAGTCTATAGGCTGACGTGTCAAAGTGGCAATGACATCTATAAATGAACGACTGGAATGGAGAATATATATCAAAGTAAAAGAAAAATTATCAAACTCGTATTGCAGAAATAAGATTCAGCAACGTCTTTGCGGTCAAAACTGCAGCCGAAGCAACCGTGTTGTGCAATGGAAAACCGGAACGATAAGGAGCGCAAGTGTCGAAATTTTGAGCATGTTGCTTGTTCTACCCAGTACAATTTCGCCGTATGTGATGCGTTCGCCATAGATATTTCGTATTTGTCATCGGATACCCATGCTAATGGCATATACTGGAAACGCCTAAATATCTGCACCAGAACTGCTGCTCCAAACAAAATGTCGACTATCGCTCAGAGAGCTCTTTAAGACCATTCCGTATCACAGTCGCAAGTCGCCGCATTTCCAATCGCTCAACAGTCGAAACGAGTAATATCTGTATCTTCAGGAAAAGCCCTGTCCTACACAACCACTGCCCACTATGCCGGCTACCATCTCACACCAATGCATGTGAAATAGCGCCGATCCTGACTCGTATGGAACCAAACGGTCACTCATCGCTTCTACCACACCACCTTAGAGAAAGACTACTGCATCCAAAAAATACCCTCAAGATAATTGGGAAAAACCAAAACTTCTTCGAATCTCAAACTAAATGCAATTCGACAACACACAAGCAGATTCCTACATGTACACCATCAACACTAAATCTTCATTCCTATCCACAGAGTACAAACACCGATCCTTCCAGTTCCTCGCTACCCGATTCCATCAGCACAGCAAATTCTTATTCAACGTTGAAATGAAGTTTCTTTCACTTCAAAAACCATGTAATAGCCAGAATCATGAGGCTCAATATCCAAACTACATTCCCCTTATATAATATAAAAACCTTCCACTTCAATCCTTCCAATAAATAACAAAATTCGAATTTACCATCAAATTCTCACCTCCCCTGCACATATACCAATGTCGACCAAATCTAAAAACATACCCGTGAGCCTTTCACCGTCTGACAACATAATTCCTGAGCATCACGTCTCCTTTGTCACTACGAAACACAATCTCTATTCCACAAAAAATACGAACGATATCTACAATCGATTGTAAAATCGACTTCCCAGTTAAGATTCACACTCACAATCCATACATATCCAACTGCGCATATCTGCGAACATGGAGGAGAGCATTTCTCCCTCTCGCAATGTGTATTTCAACCATCGAAATACAGATTCTGACTCGGAATCAGAAGGTCTATTTGACGGAAAAGCACCCGAAACGATATCTCCGATGGTCACGAACTTCGAATGCGATTTCGAATTAATTGCTCTGTGTGATGGTATAATTTTGGATGGAGGATTTTAGGATATAGTAATAGATAGGATAAGAGAAAATTTCATTGTTGATATTCGCTACATTTTATGTATTTTTCATTTGGTGCGATCCGTACATACACTTTAGTGTGTGTATTTGGTTTTGGAACGTGAGTTAGATGGAGATGAATGATTAGTTAGGATGAATATACTTGTGAAGGTGAAGATGCGACGTGTAATAATGGTCGGTCTGATCGCGACAGTATGGAATGGAAGCAAATGATCTGTGCACGTATTATAGATTGTTATCGCGATTATGTAAGAGATTATGCGAGCATATGTGCTTTGAGTTGGACGTGTTGAAACTAATTTCATTCATTTACTATTTTGGTTTGGTGAAGCTAGTTGCTCGTCTCTGTGTTGGAAGTCGCTCGGCATTCGTGTTGAATCGTCCTCTCTGAAATTAAAAAGTGTAATACTGTTTTGGATAAATTCCATTCATTGTAATGTAAGTTGTCAAGGCTGAAGAATGATGAGATTGACGAAATCAGTGGAGATAAACTCGAGGTTTAGATAGAATGTAGCATCTTTTTCTAATTGATTTCCTTTTCGTTTTGATTTAGTATGGGTCCATATGGTTCAAAAGTCTCAAACTATGATACGCAAATTATTTCATACAATTGGTGTGATGCGGCTAAATTGCTTGAACAGATAACAGCTGTGATCAATGAAAAAGTTCGCAATGGAGTTCATAAACTTGTGAGCATACTTGCTGTTCACAATACAGTTATGCTCATTAATATGCTACTGCTTTTACTAATGATTGTTGCTATCGTTATCTGGTGTTTATTTCAGCATTGTCGAACTACAGCTGTAGGGATAAGTGCCGTGGACGAACCGCCGGCTTATTCGATCGATACTCCAGCATCTGCTAAAAAGTCTCCAGAGAAAAATAAAGACGGATATAAAGTCTAATATCCTCGATGACATCGCGTCAAATGACATTTTTCTCTTGTTTATGCATGCATTTGAATAGATTCATAGTTAGATTGTAGCTAGATGTACTGAGCATTGTTTCATTCCCTCGACTGAAAGGAGGGTTATGTCGAAAAAAGTGGTCCAAAAATCGAAATTCGCTTGTGAGTATATCTGGCGTAGGGCAAAGATCAAAGGTCAAAAAATCAAGTTTTTGAAAATGTTTGAAACTTCATAAAACACGGTTTCGAAGGACGTTTTGGCACTAAAACTTCGTTGAGAGTGGGAAGGACAGGTAAGGTAGGGTCGATGTTAAGAGTACTTTGAGCCTTGAGGTCAACGGTCCATAAGAGAATTTCATTATGAGCGGAGCAAAGATTAAGTAAAAGAAAGTTTTTCATAACTGTAAATGTGCAAAGAAATTTATCATACATCGAAACTGAAAGATACGTTCTCAAAATGTAATGTAACTTGTATTTGTGACACCAGGAGAATTTCCTTAGAAACACATGTCCAGATTACAATTCTCATTCTTTTGCTTCTATTCCCTTTTCTGAAAGAAAGGGTTATACAGCGTTTAAATGCTGTGTTAAAAAGCTTAAAGTTTGTCTGTCTGTCTATCCTATCCAATCAGAAATCAGCATTTCTAAAATCAGTGAAATTGATCGATCATTCTTAGAAAATGATTACCCATAGGATAATCTAGGTCGGGGAACTTGAATCTGAGGTTATATTTAACTAATTATTAACTATTAATTAACTAGCTGTCAACTAGACATAAACTATTAATATGCAGGGTAACGGTTGACCGAAGGGTAATAGGGGTCGAGGATCTCGAATCCGAGATTAGTGTTGATTAGTTAATTATTAGTTTTTCATTAACTAGCCACGACTTATTAACATCCATTGTTAGAGTAGACCGAAGGATTTCTGACGTCGGGAAATTCGAATTTGAGCGTGAATTTCGTCTTATTCTCTGAGCCTGGGCTTGTTCCTTCCTTTTCACAAAGGATATATTTTTCTTTACCTGTTCTAAAATCTTTTGTAGAAGATGGTGAGCTGAACGCTATTCACGGACGTCATGTGTACAAAGATAGTAGCTCAAGAACTTACACGAACATATCTAATGCATTGTACATGATGACGTTTTTAATTGAAGAAATCCGAAAAAGTGATATGAGCTTAGTATCATCTTTGCTTTGTAGGCTACATGCATCATGTCCTTTCATGGGAATTTCGTAGAAGTAGTTCGCAAAGTCATATACCCGTCGGTGGAATTTCATCTTAGTAACTACAGACGCGTGGACTGTAGAAACAGTATTCTGAACACATGCAGCGCTATGAAAGATGTTCGTTTCGAAGCAAATCATATAATAAGACTTTCTTATCTAGTTTCTTTGGGTAGTCGAATGAATAGAAGATCATGACTGTCGAAGCGACAATAAAAGAAAACCCGATCGTTCAGTTTGGAAGTTGATCAAAGGGGAAAGGAATAACAGAGNTACGATTTTGATTTTCGTTTGATTGACAAATTTCATGATACAAAAATGGATTTATTGCTGATGATTTGTTAATAAGTATTTCTACGAATGGACAATGATTTTCTAAGGATAAATAAACAGTTGTATTAAGACTTGTTCGATTTGAATCTATATACAAAATAAAATATTTTGATTGGGAAATGAAATTGAAATCATAGATTCTTAAAATGCCAACTGATGGTATATGATAATGATTGAATTTCAAACTAATCTCATTTGGTAAATGATCGAAAATTTCTTGTTCAGATATAATAAATTCTAAAGTTTTCTGTTCATAATTATTAAAAAAGAAAGTTGTAGCCATTATATTACTTTTATTTAAGGTTAAGTTTGATGAAATAATTAATTGTAAAGAAATCTCTCCGTTTGAATATTGACAATGATCACCTGTAGAATTTGCATTACATAAACAAGTATATTTCATTAAATTAGATAAATCATTGTTCAGTAAACAAGTTCCTTGATTTAAACATGGATTTATTTGACAAATATTGTATTTCAAATGACACGTAGGACCAAATGTTGATGTTGGACAGAAACAGAAAGGTACTCGATATTGATTGATGAAACCATTAAATTTGATTTTACAAATCGATTTTGATGAACAATAATTAGTACATTTATCTTCATCATATTCGCAGTATTGACCATAATAACCGCTTTTACATGAACAAATATATCCCACTTGAGTTGGATTACTAGTTATATAACAGATTCCATTTCGGCCACATGGATTAGAAGAACAGGAAAAATTTCTCGAAGAATTTAAATGTAAAATTTTTGCTAAACGGAATACCGGAAGAAAATCAAAATGTATAGGATATTGCCAAACTTGTATTAATTCAATTGTTTCATTGAAATATAAATTATAAACTTCAAATTGAACATGATAGCGTGGTACACCACTATAATAAAGTTTGTGTAAATCTTTATAACGTCCAGGATAAATGAAATAAATCCCTTGTTTTATATAATTTTCATTTGTTTGAGTATTTGGATTAACATAAAATTCATAAAAATCCATTATTCGATAGGTTCTTAAAAACAATACCAGAACTTTAAGAGTTTCAACAGACGGAGAATAATTATATTCAGTTAAATTTAAATGTGTTGCAACCGTTATTCGATCACTATGAAATTCACATTGTGATCCATAATAACTTGGTGGACAAAAGCAAACAGTTTCCTCAGAATAACCTTTAACAGCAAGTCCACGATTACAAATAAATGGAAGGAAATGGTCAAGAGTTATTTCACCAAGGGGAAGTGCTTGACGAATAATGTCAAAAGCAGAATTTATTAACCGATTGTTATTTTTGAAATTCATTGTATAAATTATTTGGTTAGAAATTTCCTCTTTCTTCTTATCTTCGAATGGATATTTCCATTGTTCTGAAGATAATAAGCGTTGTTGGTCATATTTATGTACTCTGTATAAAAGTCTTGAAACAGAATGAACACATCGATATTCATCTTCACCAAAAAGACAATAAATTTTTCCATCACATCTTGCATTTTTTATACAAGTATCATTTAAACACATAACGTCATTTTCAGCTTTACAATTACTCATTGTTCCATTTTGAAAAGATTGTCTTCTATAAAAACAGATACTATCATATGAAATATCTTTTCCTGGTATCCATTCATAAGGTTTAATACATAAATCCCGATATTCAACACAATCTTTATTCTCTAATTGAAAACGATAACCCAACATATCTTTATTTGGACATTGAATTCGATTTCTTTCATCAAAATTTGCTAAACAATCTTGAATTCCATCACCAATTTGTGTGAAATTAATACACGGATGATAACTTGTTAAATTAAACGGATCATTAACATTATTTCGAAAACATGGATATTCATTTGTTATGTCACACAAATTAGAAAATGGAGTATTATCTAATCGATACCGTCTCGAACATTGTTCCTTTGCTTGTAATAAAGTCAATAATTTTGAATTATGTTCTGTGAAATTATCAAATGAAAAAATTCTTTCTTCATCAGATCCATCAATACAATCCCATTCACCTAGAAAGAAACACATCATCAAATTCGTTTCTTTAACAGTGGCGTGATCAGGGATGGACAAGGTATTGCCTATCCGCTCGCGAATTTTTAGTTAAGCCACTTATGAACGAAAATTTTGGAATTTCTCCGAAAATGAAAACATTTGCCAATAGCGATCGAGTTACACTGAAAAACTATAGAAACAAAAACAATCATATGAATTGATTTACCGTCACAAGTCCAATTTAATTGAATACATTGTCCAGATAAACACTGATATTCATTTTGACGACAAATCCAATGTTTACATAAATCGGACAATTCGTCATCAGCTGGTATTTGATTAAAAAATGAATCACAGTAATATCGAAAAGGTAAAATTTTTCCAACGTAATCAGAAGTCGGATGAATCATATCAACTTTTGTTTCATTCATATCAGACAATGATGAACTTTGAATATAATTTCGAATATAATGACACCCAAAATCTGTACGTTTGTCACATACAGGAGTTTCGAAATATTGATGAATACTGCTTTGGTAATATTGATCACGATTATTTGTACAAAGACCTATATCTTTCCCTAAAACTGCTGGTAATAAACACGATAATTCAGATGGTGAACATTGTAAACGATGCCGTTGAATTCTCGGACAAGAATTATTCATACTTGGTAATTCTTCTAAAGGAGAACAATCAATTATTCCGTCTCGTATTCGATATTTTGATATACATCTTGATCCACATAAAAATGATACTTGATAAGGATGATTATTAAATGTTTTGGAATTATTCCAACAATTTTTATCATAACTATTTGAATAAATTCTTGTTATATTTTTAAACATTGTTGTGTTACATAGACGAGATTCCGTCCTCCAATATGTATATAATCCAATGGCATGATTTAAAGGTACTACAATTTGATTATTGACTTTGATTTGATAACCAATACATCGGAACTGTCCAAAGTATACAAGAAAATCAGGTTTTTGATTTGTCCAATCATGTCTTCTATCATATTCCATTGCTACATACGGAGATAAAAGAAAACCTTTGAATGGATATTGAATTGTATCAGTTCTATTACATTCTGTGTTGATTTTCTTCCTACATTCTTCCATAGATTGACAGCAATCAGTATCAAGACTATGACTTAATGCACATTTAACATAAAAAGAACATTTATCTTTTGAGTATGTTGTATCAAGGCCTGATTTTTTATAAGAAAGTCGAAATGGTAAACAATAACCACCATCAATCGTCCACCATGACATTGAATCTCTTGTAGCTGATTCACACATATAATTAATATCTCTTAAATTTTGACAAAACGTCGAAAATGTCTGTCGAGTACCTTGATTTCGATCAGTATCATCTGGAATACATTGACCTTCAACAAAAACAAAAAATTTCTTCTCATAAAAAAAGATAGAAGAAGATATGATATATACCATCACCACATGACCAATGATTAAATGGACAAGTATGTTCATCACAAACATAAGAAGCAGAAGAATGACAATTTGAATATAAATCCACAAGAGAATCTGATTCATCTGTCCAATCCATACAATCATAATCACCATCTAACCAATACTCTTCTGGAATACACATACCATTAGCACATCGATATTCATTATCTTCACATTCATTAAATTCTAAATATTCGCAGAAATTTTCATCGATTCCTCCTATACACTGTTGTTTACCTAAACAATTCAAATTCATAAGAAATTTAATTCTAACAAAAGAAATATTCGTTCCATACCATCACAGATGTGTCTCCAATCAAGACACGTTAATTGCGAATCACAACCTATCCTTGTATAACATGGTCGATTATTATGAAGTTGACTACCGATATTAATTTTTCTCGTAGGAGGGCGATTATCACGGAAAATCAAATAAAATTGTGTATCAATTGCATAATCAAAAGAAGTGATATTAGGAGAAAAAAATTCATATTCACAAAATTTACCAAATGTACTTGGACGTGTACAATTACATAGAAATTTCTCGGCGATATCAAATGATTTATTAAATAAATATTTTGAATAACGATCAAGTTGTTCAATACTTGAACTCCATTGTAAAACATCTGATGGAGAAATATTCAAAGATAATAACTCCTCAAATGACTGGAATATGCCATCATTATAACAAAATTCATTAAAACTACGATTTAATGGGCCTTCTTCATTCCACTGGATACAATATTTAACACCTTCGCTACTATCATCAGCGAGCCTTTCTGTATAATATATACAATCGTGATATAGAATTTTCGGAGCATTCTCTGTATTGTGTAAAATAACATAACAATGACAAAATAGATATAGTAAACTAAACAGTAGATGACAAAATATTGTTCGGTGCGATCCAAACATGACAAATATCGTGGAAAATGTCGATTGATGTTAACTATAAATATTTTATTGATATTTATACTAGATAAATCCAATAATTTAATTAGGTCAGATTAAATCATGACATATATCTATATGTTAAAGAATATCATATTCACAATATTGGAAATCTTTCAAAAGATAGATTTGAGAATAATATTTCCATATGTGAAGAGAAAAGAACTGCCTTATCAAATAATTCATATCAAAAAGGAAACAATGGTAAATGAAATAAATCCCAATAGTCATATTGGATTTTGACACAAAATTCAACTAATGAACACTACGATAATTTTATTTCGGAAAAGAAATGAGAGTGAGAGTGTTTAGGACTCGAGTAGAGGCGATGCCTATGGTACCAGTGAACAAGAGGGGTAGTACAGCGTTTCCTGGTGGAACTAAATGTTATTGGTCAGCAACGATATCGAAAAAGATGTGATATTTTTTTCGATATTCGTTCCTGTAAGATTGCGATGGTAATACAAAGATAAGAAATGTAATCATTGGAGGAATAAACGATATAAAATATTCAAGAATCTCTTGTTGAATAAATGCAATTTTTCGTACCGTTTATGATAAACTTTGTTTCAGTCACCATTCTTATCATCAAAAGTCCTATCTACAGATCGATATTCAAACTCGTAAACGCTTTCTTCATCTTTTTTTAGAACAGATTCATCAACATCTATTAACCGCTCCAGTTATTGTGTTAGTTGTTATCGAACTATTCTACAGAGTCATTTATATTTTCTTTCATCAGAATAAAATGCACTTGGCATTGTCAGCTTCCAGTTACCGTACTGTTCGTGAAATGATAAAATATCCTAGCTAGAGATTCCACGCGTTAGTGGAAGAGAGGACATAGACGCATCTGATATAACGTCTGATATAAATAGTTCTCCAAGAATTTGACCAGCATCGATCGATGTTTTCATGAAATGTCCGAATGCTTTTGCTACTACTAATAGCTGATGTTATTGTCACACCTTCTCGACAATATCGACTAGTGGAAAATCGGTCTCAACCAAAGGTATTCTTGTAGTAGTCCATGCGTTAGTCATAGGCTTATAAAATGCGATGAAAGCAAATCTCATTAATGTAACTGCTTTGCCTATTGTAGATAGACTTTCATGGATGGTGATCAAAGTAACGATGAAGCAAATAAGTCCACATTATCGTTAATCAAAGCTATCAGAAGCTCGTGTGCCACAGCACTCAATGATAAACCGTCGCAAGTGCTATGCTCACATATGATTACAATCTCACATGAACCATTGTCATCACTTGAATCCTAAAATTTCATAGAAAAAAAAGATTCTCATTTTATCCGCTTTCGGCAAGTCGTTGTCCTATAGCGCTCTTCCATGGTATTTTTTGAATATGAAGACGACGTTATAAACAATTTATTGCTGCAGGTAATTCTTCCAAAGAAATATGAGGTTCATGAAAGTGCAAAACTTCACCTACACTTTCACATGACTTTGATACTGTTGTGATGATTGCATCATATCATTATAGCCGCTGCACCAAGCATCGTTTGATTTTTGTTAGAGAGTGAAGAATTGTTTCGTTGGAACCAGGAAAACATTTTTCTGCCGATGACTAAGATTAGCAGAAAGTGTTTACAGTTATTTACTATCAACAAAAAAAAACAAAGAAAAGAAAAACAAGATCAATAAAATGTCGCACATGTGGTCTCTGCTTCGTAGAGCTAAGACTTTTGCAGATGCGTTCAACAGACTGGCCAATGATGCATCAATATCAGTATAGCTATTGATCAGTAGCTCAATGAATTTAATCATTAGTTCATTTTATACGTTCAACTAAAGAACTCTCAGAAATGGATATAGATGTCATTCGCAAAGCTTGATACGTTGAAGCAGCACATCTTTTTTCTTTATTCATTGACAATACGAATGAATAAAATCGACCTCTTTATACCATTTCTAATTTATTCGTATCGTTTTCCAGTGCTATGATATTTTTTATAGTTTAATTACCATTGGTGAGCTCGCTTATTTTACAAATGCCAGTACAAGCACTCTTATTCAATCACAGACATCATCAGTGAGTATTTCTTTTCTGTTCTCTATCAGCGTTAATCTCTACACACATGTCGTGTTCATTGGATCATTACAGCTCTCATATGCGTCATACCTTAGTGATATCGCTCTATAATGTTTCTATATTATTCCATGAACGCAGTAAACTAATGTTGCCATTGCTGGTACGAGTGGTTCATCGTTAACTGCACCCAGAAACTCTAAAAGTATTATTTATTCTCACTAACAGGAAAAGCGTGAGAAACATTGTATATATTCGTGTACGAGAACAAGACGGTGAACGAAATGTTTAGTGCGAGTTAGAACACAAGCGTAATTACAATTTTTCTTTTGATTGCGCAGTCATCAGATTCTCCTTCTTGCCTTCTTATATCGACCTTTATATCGTTTATGTCTTTCCTTCACCCTCAGTTGCTGATGGTATATTATAACGTCGTGATGTTTTTTGCTTTTACAATACTCCTTTTCTATTTGCAAGTTCTTTAAATTCATCAACAGTGTCGTTTTTTTCTGTTTCAAAACGTGCTCTTGTTCTCTTTCTTCCTTTTTGTATGTGCTGAAAGAAGAAAATTCCAACATATTCTATTACTTCTAAATAACAATATAATCTTTTAACTTCTCGCATCGAACAATATAGAGAGAAGCGTTTTTCGAATTTTCACATTATAAATGTCTCATCCATCTAAAAAAAGTGATTGCTTCATATGCCAATATCCGTTGAAATCCGACGAGACCAAAATTACCACCGAATGTGGTCACAGCTATCATCGTCGTTGTGCTCAAAAATACTATGACGAGAAAGGTCATAGTGCCTGTGTGATGTGTAAGAAGTCATCAGCTTTAGCCAAGGCGCTTCAAGGACATGTCACTACAAGTACTGCTACATCTTCAGCCCGACGTTCTGGTAAACCAATGGATCATGTATGTTTATTCGTTTTGACTTGATTGAGAATAGAATTGTAACAAATGAAGAATTCCATCTTCAAAACTGAGAAAAACGNGCACGAGTACGGAGCGATCTACACCTCAGGCTTGACCGTCTTTCGTCAACCAGAAAACACTGGCTATAGTTTTATGGAAGAACCACTTAAAAACGTGTGTTCTTTAGCTATGGCTGCTTATTCAGGCCCGAGACTAAATGGAAATATGCTTGCGTCAAAGTTTGCTGTGGGAACACGAAAAAAGATTGAAAATATCTTCGCTGTTGCTTTTCAGCACAAACACGATAGTTTAGTATTATCAGCGCTAGGCTGTGGTGCTTTCAAGAATCCACCAGGCCATGTGGCAGAACTTTTCCGTTCGGTCATCGAGCAGTATGCCGGTTTCTTCCGACGAATTACTTTTGCTATATTGGATGATCACAATAGTGGTCGGTTCTTCAATCCAGAGGGTAATTTTCAACCATTTGTAACTCTTCTCGACGGAGTGGTCATCACTCCATTATCACCAATGAACACGCCACTGACTATATTTGGACCGTACCGATTATTGTCCGACGGGTTGACTACAAGTGACGTGTGTATCTGCAATAAACTACTGTGCACATTTGGTGCTACCTGTTTTGAACTTTCTGATCGTACACATGCGAAAGAATACTCTCATCCACCTCGTTGCCCATATGTTGCTACGAAAGGTAAGTGTGACTTCACCGATAATATTGTCCATATGCATTCATTCGTGCATCGAACTCACTGTCGATACGGTGGAGAATGTCGAGAAATCAACGATGACAAACATACTCACGAATTTGAACATCCGGCTGCTTGTCCACATGGAAGCAAATGTGATGATGCGAGCGACGAGCATTTAAAACAGTATCGGCATTTACCACTATGTAAAGACGGCTTACAGTGTCTCGAATTTAAGACGCATGAAAAAGTTCACTGTAACACATATCGTCACTGCGTTTTCGATTGTCCGTATGGAAGTAATTGTGCCTATATTCACGATAAACAGCACCGAGACAGGTATGTGCATCCAACACCTCCACCATGCTCCTTCACTCCATTCAGTTGTAAATTATATACTGTATTTCTGCACTGTGACGATCGGAAAAAGCTCGATGAAGATATTCTACGCCATTGCCTTGATTTTACTCACATTTGCTCATTGGGTCGTAATTGTCAAGATAAGGATAGACTACACCTGGAAAAAACGATTCACATCCCAAGATATATGTGTCCTGACGGTGACAAGTGTACTAAACTTACCAATGAGGATCATCTTAATACATTTACACATCCTGGAATTCCTGATATTAGAGAATTATGTAAATATGCTGATAAATGCTTCCACCGTCGCGATGCAGAACATGCGGCTGTGTACCGACATGCAGCAAGATTTGAACATAGTGGTATTTTAAGTTATTTTAATATGAACAGCGGAATTGACTTTGTAGAAAATCAAAAAAATCTAACTGAGCGCATTATTCAATATGTAAAAGATAACAACTGGACCCCATTACCATCATGGACTGTACCAGATAACATTCTCAATTGGATACGCACTGTTCAACCTGTACATCGATGTAATCAAGTTATTTTTGAATCTATTCTTCTTCACGGACACGTAATGAGTCGTGAATATATGTTAAATTTGAAAAAGCCGAACTTTGTTGCTAATTCCGTTCTACAACACAGTCGAATGAGGTGCGTCCGTGAGCTACAAGAAAAAGTAGTTGCTGAACACGCCAAAATGTATGTTACTGCTTTAGTTCAGCGTTATGTTACATCAAAGGGTTTCACTGGTGGAAAGATCCCTGATGCTACTGCTGGGCCTCCCGTTCCATCAGCGGATATTCAGGATGAACTGACATCGTTGGAAAGTGATATTGCGAAACAGGAAACATTTTTATCGAATGCACTAAGTAGAAAAGATTTGGAAGCGATACGTATTAAGTCGGATGAGATTGCTGAAGCATCAATCAATCTTCATACAAACCGTGCAGGTATTGGCTACAGTTCGGATAAACACCTTGGTACCGACAAAACAGTTTTCAGTATTCTTGGACCCCATCTGGGACATTATTATGGAGATATATTTATTGTCTTTAAGCGTGACATTCTTCATCACCCCGATGCCAATTTTACCATTCAAGCAGCGACATCTATTGCGAGTGGAAGCGCTTTTCAATTACGACCATGGTTAGGTACTCACCCAGCTACGATCCAGGAACAAATTGAATTCTTTAACAAATGTAAATTGAACTGTTCTATTCCAGGTTACGAATATGCAGCTGCACTTGAATTGATAGCATTCACAAGTCAGCACTTTGCATTAAATTCAATGAACACAACCCTCGATAAAATTCTTGAGCGATGGTTCAATGTGGATTCTCATTTGACGATCGAAGGACATTTGCCGCAACTGATCCCATTGAGTTACATCGAACATATCTACATTCCACAAAATCTTTACGATTCACTTAGCGTAACTTCGCAGAAGACAATGCATGCGACCTTTAAAAACTCGTTTACTCTAGTTCCACATGATGGTATACCTGTTCAACCACAAAATCCACATGGTCCGAAGCCACCAACACAATCTCGTGAAGACTTGCAAAATTTTGTTGTCGAGGAGCTACGTAAGAAATTCATCGAACGTGTTCGAAATCCATCATGGACATCTGTCCAAGGCGCCGCGATTACAATGCCATTCACTGATTTTGCTGATACTTATGTCTTACCTCTAACAATTTCACAAGCATATCAACAGTATTGTTACGCTAATCATCATCGGCCAAAGGGCAAAGCGTATTATATTTACTGGCAAGTCGTCGGTGGGGATATGATCTTAACATTGTCGAATAAATCAGTTTTGTCCAAAGAAACCAAGTCGAATCTTCGATGCTTAAGTTGTTATATCGCGGGAAAAGGTCCATCGAGTGATACAACTTATCATGAATACTTTTCATATATCAATGGTAGTTCTCCATTTCAACATCCTGTTCTGAGAGAACATGGTAAATTCGCTGCGAAATCTAATCAATTTTTTGTCGGTTGTAATACCGATTATCTGATGACATTTTGTCTTGAAGTTCAATTCGCAGATGGAACGGTTACACTTTCACATGCTGGTCCGAATTCCATTTATAATCATGAAAAGATTTCCTTTCAATCCGATAAAACCCAACTAGACTTAGAAGATTTGGAATACATTCATATAAGTTGCGGTTCCCGCATAGTTCCAGTTCGAAATTTAATGGTTTGTTTTGAAAAACAACCTGATTTGCATCCGACATTCGACAAAGATTTCAGTAGCATTCCTTCGGCAAGCTCCAAGGAGCCGACTCACTTCAATATTGTACCACAAAAACGAAACAAAACAACCGAGTTAATTCCTTGTCACGATAATGTCAACTGTCTTCTTCAACACTCTAGACGTCGCGGACCAGCTCACAATGCAGTATATTCTCATCCATGTTCGTTCTCCGAACTGTGCGCTGCGAAAGAAGCACACTTGACACACGAGCCTCATAATTCACCAATGTGCAAACACGACAAGAAGTGCAAACAGATCAACGACCCATTTCATCGAGCGGAATGCCGTCATGCCAATCTACCGGACTTCCTTATACCATGTCGTCATCAAAATACCTGTTACGATGATTCATTCGAACATCGGACCGAATTTTCGCATGGCGAACAAGTTTATAAGAAGTCTAGTTCTTCTTCGGCGTCAAAAGAACGTAGAGGTCATGATGACGCGCTAATACCATGTAGATATGGTTCCAAATGTAAGGGTATTAACAGTTCTAAGCATTGCCGAGAGTATTCTCATCTCAAGAGCGATGAATAGTCCGTGGAAATGACTATATTTTCAATAAATAAGAGACTAATAGTTGATACATGCAAACGACTTATTTGGGTGCGATCGGTGTAACTTGATTAGTTCGAAAGAATA